ATGATATGGCGTTTCATCACGGCAGTATTTAGTTTAGACAGTAGCTGCCGGGTCCCGCATGAACTCAGCCCCTTCCTTGTTTATTTTAAGCTTTATTCCCCAAATCAGCACTTTTGAAACAGGAAGTGAAATAGAGGGATATGAGGCATGGCTAGAATGGGTGATCTGTCTGGTATTTTGAGCAAAACACTTCATAGACATGTTTTTTATATATTTTTATATATCTGAGACCTATGCTATTGCCTAAAAATAGCATGATAGGTGACCTTTAAAATATTGTAAAACATAAAAGCAGAGATTTATCATATTTAATAAGCTGTAAACTGTAAATATTTGATTAATTTAGTTGATAAAACAACTGAAACACTTATTGATCCGGGAATTCAGGGAGTGAGAGGCAAGATCTGCGTCTCAACTGAGGGCATGACAGTCTTGAATGAAGTGAAATCAGTTTATGTCGGCGTGATTGAATAAACATCAGGGCTGTCTGTCCACTGAAGGTCACAGCTGGAGGGGAGGAAGCTAACCAGGCAACAGGTTGAGGTTAACCACTAATGCATGGAGGGAAAAGAAGTACAATGACAGAATATATGTAAAAATAAACATTAGAAAAACTGCAACTGATCATATTTTATTCATTTTTCAATTTAAAATGTATGACATGCTGCACATCTTTCAATATAGCATAGGATCATATGGAATTGTGGGTAATATGTCCTGCTCTAGAAGGCTGAATTAGACATCTGCATACAAATGAGGGCTGGGAATATCATGTAAACGTCCTTTTTTTTTATATCATAAGTACAGTTTTTACATGTTTTTTAAGGCTACAAATAATAGTGATGTATTTTTCTGAATTCACCACACTTTCTTTTACCTGTACTGTCATATACCTTTACCTGCTTAGTAGGGCTGTGCAATTAATCGTATTTTAATCGCAATTACGATTTTGGCCTGCCACAATTACGAAAACAACATAATCGAAAAAAACAATTATTCTGCTTTGCTAGGTTGTGACCGTGCACTGCAACATATTTGATTTTGGTCTCATTTATTTGTATTTATATATGTTTAGTAGCTTGTGGAAGTGCGCTCCAAAATATTTGTTGATCTTGTTTATTGGTATTTATTATTTTGATATTATTTATTTAAATGTATCATTTATTTTTGTATTGGTTTTTCAGTTGAATTATACGTTCAGGGTAATCAACAGTTAAAAAGATACTGTTCAAATTATTGTTTGTATTTGTTTTAAAGTTCAATAAATTGATTTTTTCAAAGTCGATGAATAATCGTATTTAATAATCGTGATATCAATTATTGACCCAAATAATCGTGATTATGATTTTTGCCATAATCGCACAGCCCTACTGCTTAGTCATTAAATCTAACTTACTGATGATTATATCACATTTCTCATTGCGGAAATACTTTGAGAAAGCATCATTGGTAAAAGCTGCAATATAGACAGAGGTTTTCGGGTAAAGAAATATCCAGATATTTGATGTTTTTTCATATATAACTCAGCATGGTTAGGTGTAGCTCCTGCCTGCCTTTTATTTTGCAGCGAGGGACAGAAAGGTTGATCTTGCTGACAAACAGCAGCAGATTTGGCCTCATCAGCACAGAGATCTGCTCTGAAGCACTACTAGAAACCCCCTCTGTGGTCCTGTCAGCGAATCAGGAATCAGATCTGAACATTTTGGATTCAGTGGGTGTTTCTCAATCGCGAGTACGCTTGCTTGGTAGCACATGTCTGCCGAGCATCTTGCTTCAGAAGCGAGTCAAGAATACTTCCTGGCATTCGGAAAACGAAGTGTGGAACACGCTAGCAAGTGTGCAGGTGTGCGTCATATAAGAGGCCCCGCCTTACATCTTCCGCCACAGATTTGGGGAAATTGGTCCGTGCGCAAAGCATTGTGGGGATTTTAAGACCGCGGAGTCTACTCATGTGCACACTCGATATTTCTCCAAACGGAGTACGCCGGGCTCGGTAGATTTCCAAGTATGCTGGAGATTGGAACAGTACTTCGGCGGCACTCGATGACGTAGTATGCTTGAAATAGTGGCTCTGAAGCAGCTTTACTCGCGATTGAGAAACACCCAGTCTGTCATTAAGAACATATTAAACCTCTCAGACATACTGTTAATATAGCTACAATAACTGTACTACTGTTACACTAACACTTATGTGCACTGGTATAAATACATCCACACACAACTATTTGGTAATTAGATCATCCTCTTAAGCAACAAAGACATATATTTGAAGGGTCCAGGGTCTCAATTGTAAGGTTGTGATGCCTTTGTTTGTTATAGATTACAGTTAATGTAATCATTTTGGGCTGGTCAAATAAAACACGACATCTGATGAAAATTCCCTGCCTGTGGGAAAATATAATTGGCATTTTTACTAGTTTATGAACAGGAAATCGTTGTTAATAGTCGCTGCAGCGCTACACTCATCATTCAAAGTGACAGTAGGAGTGCAGGTGCCGTAAAACATCAAATGTATCAGAGTTATTCAAGTTGTTATGAAACAAACTAGCCTTAAAAACATATCTCACCAAATAAATCCCACACATACGCTTCTTATTTTTCTGTACACATGCAGTAACATGCACAATAATATCATTTTTTTGTTTATTAATGTTTTCATTGGCTCTGATTTGAAGACAACTCATCAATTCTTAGCAAGAAGGCAAACTTCCAAGCAATCAGGGAAAATGATCCAAGTGGTCAAACAACAGGACCTCAAAGTTGATCAAATGATCCACGATCAAAGACCTGCTACCAGCACTAATGCAGATGATTCAAAGTTAATCAGATGCCTTACACAGAACAGACCACAAGCTGTGTGTTTGGCAAAAACACAAAGCAGCAGTGCTATACAAACAGCCTCTAAGACAGGGGTGTTATACTCAAATACACAGTGGGCCAAAATTAAAAAATGGGTACTAGTCGAGGGCCGGACTGGTTCAATGTTTATTACAGAACTTATTGAAATGAACTTATTGCACATATTAAACCTGGAACTAACTAAGCTTAAATTATTGCTTATAAAAACAACATTAAACATTAAATAATCAGTTGCATTCATTTCTTATGGCTCTGTCTGCAGCTTTTCCCGAGTCATTTCTTATGATTACATTTTTCCACAGGCCAACAACAGCTTCAACAAAACTATTTCCCTCAAAGAGAAAACCAAACATGCCCTGTTGTCGTGAGAGAAAAAGTGCAGAAGGAAACATCCATGTAAACTCAGTGTGCTGCTCTGTGATGCTAGTTCAAGCCAGATACTTGGTATCTCATCTTGGGTGCAAGTTCATCAATGTTTGGGGTCAGGCTCTGAGCTGAGGAGACCCTCAGGATTGAGTGAAGGTGCAATATACCGGCGGGCCAGATCTAATAGTAATTAAAAATTATCCTGCGGGCCGAAATGAAATCCACCAAGGGCCTTGAGTTTGACACATGTGCTCCAGGATGTAGATTTTCTCATTGCAGTGTCACTAAAGAGTGTGACATGTTCTGCTGTGTGGCCGTCATAAGACACATGGGACGCATCAGAGTCAAAGAGCACTAAGGTAATGTCAGCTCACCTTGCTATTCAAAACAACTAGTAAGGCTTTTAACAGAGCAGTGTGGTTAAACTGAATACAAAGGAGTACTTCAACATATTGAATCACTGGAATACAAAGAGGCACTGGCTTATTATTCTATTTCCTTCTGTTACACAAAGTTTTTCAACTGGTAGGGACAATGGTGCCGCTTGCAAAATTACATTTTAAGCTGAAATGTGCAACTTTACACAGTTTGTGGCTCTGTGGAGCTCTTAAAAGGCAACTGAAATTATGTTCAATGATGTTGTGGAAATCTTAACTTCTGTGGTTTTCCTTAAGAGGAAGACAACAAGAAGTATCATGACTCGTATTGGCAAAAAGTACAGAACCATAGTAAAAAAAGACAAGTGAATATTCTTAGTCAGGAATACCCAAATAACAGCTCTTAAAGGTCCCATGTCATGTTTTCTGGTTATTACCCGTCCCCTTGTGTTATAAAGGTTGTTCTGCATGTAGACGGTCTGCAGAGTCACAAACCCTCAAAGTACACCCTGTAGTGAGTAAAACTCTAACACAGAGAAGACCAGTCTATGCTGCCCCAGAACGCCTCGTTGGAGATTTCTCATTTTCCATTGTTTGCTTCCTGGGTTCTGTGACGTGTGAACACCCAGAGGCCACACCCTCTGCCAGCATTTCACGAAACAAAGCTTCCCAAGCCTTTCATGCCGGATATGTACAGCGTAGGGCACTGAAAAACGATGCTGTTCCTACTTTGTTTGGACCAGCGGGAGATTCGGGTACACAACCTGTAAGTATTCATTGTTGTTTGTGTATTTATGATGTTTAAAACAAACAAGGTATCTACCACGACTCTTTAAATGGGTAAACGTTTTTCGGGCTGCTAAGTTGGGATCGCAGAGAAATGCTCTCCGCAGACCCATTCTCACAGCGTTATAAACCTTTTTCTTACTCAATATCAAGCCACACTTATTGTTTTTACTTCGGCTGTGAGTGTTTGTGTGTGCTCAGGATGAGTTTCGCTTGTTCTCGCTGTATCGCCGACCCGGAAGCCTGTCCGCTCCTCGCAGCAGCTCGCAGCAACAAGCCTCGCAACTTCCCGACCAATCAGAGCACACTGGGCTCACAGGGAGGGGGGGGGCAGGAGCTCCAACAAGCCGTTTAGGACAGAGAGTGAATACACATACTTTACAGAGATGCTGTATGAGGAACCAATGTGAGTTTGGAAAATTGCACAATTTAAATCTATTCTAGTAGACCTCAGCAATGGAAATATGATCAGTAGAAATGGCCATGACATGGGACCTTTAAACACACAGCCATGATGTAAACACCTGGCTGCAAAGAGATGTCGGGTGAAACTGTGACACCTTTGCTGTGTAAACCAGTGTAAACCAGTGTAAACCAGTGTGCTGTACTCACCCACGGACTGGGCTGCTTTGGTTGGGTTTGCTTTGGTGTTGAGGTCCCGGGCGCAGACGGCGGTGCCGGAGCCACAACTGGTCGACGGTGAGGACTCACAAAGCCTTAGCGTGTAGCTGAGTTTATTGACCTGGTCTATGGCCTCCCATTTATAACTGCAACACAAGAAAAGAAACACATGAAGTAAAGAAGATGGAGAAGAATTAGTAACCTTTCTATTATCTTCGTTTTCCCCCCTTACTTCGGTGTTCGCGGTCAAATTTGACCGGTGGCTGTTTCAACTGCTATTACATTAACACAAAAACCATTAATCATCACCACATTTCATTTAACACCCTTTCAAACTGTACATATTGTATCAGACTACTGGTCTACATGAACAACTGCAGTACATATACAAAGAATAGACACTGAACATGTATTGCGTGTGCCAGGTGTGATCCATGTGGGGGGATGGGCACATAAGAGCGGGATGTGTGTCAAATTGTTGTGTGTGTGTGTGTGTGTGTGTGTGTGTGTGTGTGTGTGTGTGTGTGTGTGTGTGTGTGTGTGTGTGTGTGTGTGTGTGTGTGTGTGTGTGTGTGTGTGTGTGTGTGTGTGTGTGTGTGTGTGTGTGTGTGTGTGTGTGTGTGTGTGTGATCTGATCCGGATGGTTACTAATTCCTTTTCTTTATGGTGGTCATTTTTGACCGGGAACACCATGAGTGTTACAAAGTTGACTAAATCATCCAAAATGCAATGAAAGTGGTGATCAGCCATTGTAAATGTTCAAAGGTCTACTGTGAAGGATATCATAAAGCCTTAATGCAATCGAATGCAAAACAATAAAGTTATGATTGATGAAATTTGTAAATCGGTCAGATTTGACCCGAAGACAACAGGAGGGTTTTAAACATGTATCAGTTGTCAGACCTGCAGCATTAAATACATTTCCTTTTTCAAAGAGCTCAGTGCAATGGCGAGAGCAGCACATATGATTTTTACAATTAAGCAGCCGCTACAACTAAGACCATTTTCACCACCAATTCAAATAGATGCTCGTCAACGTGATGTCTCAAAATTGCTTGTTTAGTCCAACCGATCCTCAAAAGGTATCTCATTTAAAATATTAGTATACAGGGAATAAGCAGCAAGACTTTGTAACACATCTAAGCACAATTACCAGATGCAGTGTGTTTACAGAAAACAGTAATTTAGACTAGATTATGCTTTTAAAAAGAAAAGTAAATATATCACACAAATAAAGATGTTAGTTTCTGTTAGTTGTTAATTTTTTTTCTTGTCACCCATGTGTTGTTTCTTATTTGCATGAACACTGAACCAAGGGTTTAAGTTACAAAGTCCTGCATATAAAAAAAATGACAAAAAAAACAATTAGTTTAAGCACCTTCAAAAATGTCTCAACACTCAACCACAACTAGCTAGTCAAGAAAATGTACATACAAACATGTATTTCTTGTCAAATATTAGTGTGACCCATTTCTGTAAATGCTACCAAAACAAGGAACTAACTAACAGCTGCAGCCTGAACTGACAGATTAACTTTCTGGTTATCTTTTCATTATTTCTGTGTCAATATTTGAACAGCAGCTCCATTAAAGTACAGCACTGCATGTAGACAACAGTGAATGCTATTTACTTTAGCTATGATATAACTGCAGTGTTTTATAGCTGATTTATGGAAAGGCAAGTCATATAAGCGAGTCATGTCAGTTTACCCTGCTAACAATTAGCGTTAGCTTGTTGACATGACAGATTTCATGTAACGTTAGCAGCTAGCTACACGTTAGCTTGTTACAAAAACAACATATTGTTAAGTTCACTGCTTTGACTAGAGACAGTTTAAATTAGGATAGAAGCTAATTGTATTTGTATATTGTTGTCAAGTTAACTGGTTTAAACGTATCAAGTAGCACATTCAACACAACAAGACAATTCTTATTTTTAATCTACATGTTAGCTAGCTTGCACAAATGAAAGCTAATAGTATGAAATTAACATTTGATACATATATTGTAACTGAAACAAAGAGCTGACTGTTTATATGACAGTATACATTCATATGACATCAGTGGATCCAATGAAACCGGGTCAATAAGCAAATAACCACATGTAATTATTCCTATTGTTATTACTGGCTGCTGTCCCTTAGCTAGACAATTACACTTCTGTAATACATCTGTAAATAACTGTACAATACATACTTCCACCTTTCATACTAACACCTGGCTGCTATCTCACAACTGTACTGGATGTGTAAATTGTGTAATTTCTACATTTATCTTTAATATTTCAAAGCATGCTTGATGATTTCATTAATATGAATCGTTGGCTCTTTACTTGCTGTAATAATGTAAATGTCCCCTATATGGGATGAATAAAAGGCATATATTTAGCTAAAACATGTGTGTACATAAGGGTATAAAACGCAGTAATGTGTTCCTTTCTGCAATGGGAGGTGTGTTTGTGAGCTGTTATTACCTGCAAAGGTCCTGGGGGAAACCGGCTTAATAAAAAGCAAATATCCACATTTAATCCTGCTAATATTTAGCTTAAACATTTGTGTACATGTTGTGTTTTGTTAGCTAGTATTACCTGCAGAGGTCCTGGTACCACGGGTTCTCCTCGGCTCCGGACCGGACCGACAAACACAACAGAACCGATACCGACCAAAGGACCAGCTTCAGAGGCGAGCATCGGTCAGATTTACCCAGAAATAACATGTTTTCTGCGGGTGATTCTGTCAGTGCAGACTAACTAAGACGACGACATGATACGGCAGAGTGGTCTTTCTGCTCTGGAGCAAATTGGTGAGGAAGTGAATGCACCACATGATAGGACGTCACATGACTCCCATGATGCTGACCGATGCTGCCTTCATGATCTGTGGGAAAATAGGAATTTTTTTTTAATGTTATATTTGCTATCGATTTTTTTATGTTAATTAATAAATTGGTGAAATTATAATTTTTGGATGTGATCTACAAAATATATGTTTGATTTTATATCTTGTTTGGCTGTATTTTATTTTGTCTTTGTATGTCTATTCATAAAGTTGTTAAACACCCAAAGATGACTTATTTAACATTTATCTTAGAACATGAACGTCTTGTTTCTACATGGTTCCTGAACGCAGCATTCCTGAACGATTTTCATTGAACTTCTTGTGGTAAGAAGAAACGTCCCAACAAATATAATAATAATAATGCAGATCATCCAGTTTCACACATATTGCTCTTTGTTCGATGGTACATGAACGCACCACTCTTTATGACACATAGCCTTTGCCCCAAAGAGCAAACGTCTTTTTATTCTAGATATGTAACCATAATATTAACCCGATAAATAACATTATAATTAATTTAGTAGAGTTTGTTAAGAGTCTTAATAAAGCTGCAGCTGTTCCTGAAAGTGACAACGTGGAGCAGAAATGCTTAAATACATGAGTGCAAGTGCGCGCCTTCAGGTGTCATGTGGCGCCCCCTGGTGGTCATATTGAACCACTACAAAACCTCTCACTCATCACTTACTAAAAGGAAACTGCTTACTCAGGGCCAGCTGTCTAAACAGTGTTACATTTTGGGGATTTCCCCCGTTATATTCACAGTTTCTAAAAAAGATCGTTTTTATTCAGACATTTGGACACGTTTTTGCTCCTAAGAGCTCTTTTTGAATGATTTAGCTGACAGTATAGTGGTGACAGGAAATGGAAGCAATAAAAACATGCAACAAACCCCTTTTCAAACTTGGGATTAGTGCGAGTGCATAGTCAGCATTTCAGACAAAGTGTTTATTATAATTTCTAATTTACCTATTGGAAGATGCTTACAGTGTTTTCCCTCTAGCATTGCTTTAAACAGTCCTTGATCTGTGCAAACGTGTATTCAAAACTTTATTTAAACACATATGATGCTTCAGCAGTCTGAGTTAGCCAAATATAGTTCAAAAGTTTGTTTTTTTATGAAATGTCCTCTTTGAGTGTCTTTAGACTTAGATCAGGGGTGTCAAACTCAAATACACTGTGGCCAAAATTAAAAAACCGGTACTAGTCGAGGGCCGGACTGGTTCAATGTTTATTGCAAAACTTATTGAAATGAACTTATTGCACATATTAAACCTGGAACTAACAAAGCTTAAATGATTGCCTATAAAAACAACATTAAACATTAAATAATCAGTTGCATTCATTTCTTATGGCTCAATCTGCAGCTTTTCCAGAGTCATTTCTTATGATTACATTTCTCCACAGGCCAACAACAGCTTCAAAAAAACTATTTCCCTCAAAGAACAAACCAAACATGCCCTGTTGTCGTGAGAAACAAAGTGCAGAAGGAAACATCCATTGAAACTCAGTGTGCTGCTCTGTGATGCTAGTTCAAGCCAGATACTTGGCATCTCATCTTGGGTGCAAGTTCATCAATGTTTGGGGTCAGGCTCTGAGCTGAGGAGATCCTCAGGATTGAGTGAAGGTGTGCGTGCAATATACCGGAGGGCCAGATCTAATAGTAACTAGAAATTATCCTGCGGACCGAAATTAAATCCACCAAGGGCCTGATTTGGCCCCCGGGCCTTGAGTTTGACACATGTGCCTTAGGTAATGAATAACAGAAAATACCAGGTTCTTTGCAAAGAAGGTAAGAGAAAATATGTTATGTAAAAGCGATGAGTCAAAAATATTAGGGAGCAAATTGTTAACCTACACCCTAATAATTAGTCCCCATTGCGCAATATATGTCAAGAAAAAGCCTAAAAATAACACCAATGCATTATGAATAGATATCATACTGTGTTAGCCCCTTTAAAACCACTGCAGCGCCCCCTACAGGTCAGGCTGAATGCTTATATATAGAGCCGATAATCAGTGAAGTGATCACAGCCGCTGAGGAGACAGTCAGGGAGCTAGTTTGTTGAAACTGTGTTGCACTATGTGGTTTCTGGTCTTCATCTGCATGCTTTCAGGTAAGAACTGAAGCATTAAAAAGTACAAATTGTGCCTAATAATAATAATGATTATTCACTCTTTCTTTTCATGCAGTCGTTGGTGGTGTCCCTATAAATGCAACACAGGAGGATACCAGTCATGCAACAGGTTGGTGTTCAATAGATTGATTGTTGTTTTTTAAAAGCATTTGATCAAACAAATTATTAACGAGGAATTCCTTGTTTTTGTAGACAATGTTACTACGATGTCAGATGTGCAAAAACAAGGTAAACTGTAATTTTATACAAGCTGAACATTCTGTTTTTATCTCTATTTGTTTTAAACTATATTTCACTCAATATTTAATTTACAGGTAGTGTCATTCCCTTAAATGGCACCCAGAATGTGACTCATCATGCAACAGGTACGTTTATCAGATATTTAATTTAATGTCGTGTTTTAAAATGATTTGATTTAACCCTCAGATTTCTTTAGGTGTGTTGGTTTCAATGCTCGAGCCACAGCGATCCAGTTCAGAAACTCTAGAAGGTAAACTTTGAATACATGTATAAAACAAATATAGTATTTCATAGATGCAATGAAAGTGACTCGTTTTTATCACGTCGTAGAGCTTGAAGATGACGTGATTGTCCGAGAGGGAGACATTTTGATCCCGGTAAGAAGGACAACTTTTATTTCCCACATTTCTTTAGGATGCAATGACATTCCTGGTGAACTGTTTTTATTATTGCAGAACAAAGACTCCTCAGAACCAAGGGGCGAGCCGGCACACTAAGGAAAAGCATTGGAGGGGAAATTAATCAAACTAAACAAATGCATTAAACTACAAATATTTAAACTAACACCAATTCTACCTTTGCCACCACTACTCCCCTCCCCCGACTACTTCTTAGAATTATTACAAATAATAATAATAATGCTTTTTTTTAATTCAGGAAGACGTTAAAGGTGGGGTAGGTAATTCACTTTAGAAACACTTTTTGTTATATTCCATGGAATGCTCTTAACATCCCGATAGCAATGAATACATTAAATGCTTTGAAAATAAATACATGAAAAATGTCATCTGTGGAAGCCGTGGAGCTGTAAAAAGCACGACCAATCATCTGAGCCGGCCCGGCTAAAATAACTGGATGGCCTACCTGCCTGTCAGCCTTCCATCTGTGCACAAACTTATCTCGTGCCCTCATTGGTCATGTGCGCGTTCGTGTGTGTTGGAGGGGCTCTGTAAGGAAGTCTGAAGGAAGGGGCAGTTTTTTTTCAGCTGCGTACTTTCAAATTCTAGCGCACTCGAGCTGGTTTCTACAAATTAAATGACATACCCCACCTTTAAGTTGTAAAATTAAGTCTGCAAAATTCTGCAATTGTTGATGGAAATTGGGCTCAAAACTGGTAAATTTAAGACGATGAACAACCAGATTTATAAATCCATGGAAGTGTTGAAAGTGTGGTGATAAAACCGAACCGTTGTGTCTGTTTATATTTTCAGGAGGACAGGAATGCCGTGCAGAACCTATGGTTGGACGCCACCGTGCCGTACACCATCAGTCAGGAACTCAGTGGGTGGATGCTTTATTAACCCGCTCTAATGTTTGATCATTAGCAACAAGTGATTAGCAACCGTTATGTTTTCATTCCAACAGCTGATCGAGCGTTTGAAATCAAGGCTGCCTTCAAGATGATCTCAGACGTCACCTGCATTCGCTTCACGCCTCACACCACAGAGCTGAACTACATCAAGTTCCGCAGTGGCAAAGGGTGAGAGATGTTACTATTCAACCCAAAACTATTATTAGTTCTCTCTTGTCTAGAGGTATTTCACATCTATTCTAAGTTATATTTTGATTTGTGTCTACACTCAAAACTATCTAGTAATATAACACTTGTCAAAACCTTAAATATTTTTTTTTCTTTTCACATAAGGCAGCAAATGAATTGGATGTTAAAATACAAGTGTTGCTCTGGTATAAAATTATTGGCAAAATTATCTTTTAAATTGACAAACATCATATGTGTAATTCGTGGCACAATTCAAACGGGATCGAAAGATAATCTTTCTCTCGCCATTGACTTCAATACATACTTTTTCCGAAATAAGGTCCCATGGAGCTCCCCCGGAAAGGGAGGGACTTCACCTCTCTATATTGCAGCAACACGTGTGCAAATTGGTGGATACATTTATAAAAATAAAAAGTTTCTTTCTGCATGGCTTTATATTACCAGAAGTAGGAGAGTAAATGCCTTTTCTTGTCTCTGCAGCTGTGCGTCCTACGTTGGATGTATAGGAGGAGCCCAGTCGGTGTACTACGCCTCCTCGTGCTCTGTGGGTAATGTTTGCCATGAGATCATCCATGTTCTGGGTCTGCACCACGAACACAACCGCTGGGACCGCGACCACTACATCTATGTGAAGTGGAGGAACATCATGCCAGGTAAACACCTTGCTGGGAGACATTATCCTGTATTAAGAAAACACAATGAATAGTTTTTCCATTTTGCATATTTGAAACTCCATATGTATTTTTGGGGCAATTTGATGTAGAAGTACATTGTAAGGTTTTAATGTTTTATTTTAGATGATACAAATCCTTAAAGGCACAGAAATAAAACATAAAATGGTGCTGTAGCTTAGGATGATTAGAACAAACCAACTCCATGTTCTGCAAAAATCAAGGTGTAATGAATAATTCCTGGGTTTTTTTTTTTTTTAAAAAGGAAAACGAAACAACTTCGTGGTGAAACGTGGAGACACTCAGAATCTGCCGTATGACCTCAACTCCATCATGCACTACGGAGAGTAAGTCTGAACCCATCCTTGTGTATTTCTTCCCCTGCATAACATTTAAAAAGAAAAACTAATAATAATACCAATACAGGATGAATGAATTCTAACTTGGGAAGAACTGTATGTGATAATCCTACACAACTATTTAGTAAATTACCTTTTGTTTCAGGAATTACTTCAGTCGAGATGGCAGGCCGACGTTGTTGTCGAAGCGTAGCGGGGTGCAGATAGGTCAAAGGTCACATCTCAGTGAGCTGGACGTACTGAGGCTGAACACACTCTACCACTGTGGTACCGACTAACCAACTGCACTACTGTCAACATATATTACAGATGCATGCATAATCAAAACTGAAGTACAGTTTTCAGTTCATGCAAAGTATTCAAACTTTACTCAGACATGTTTCTTCTTTCAGACGAGCGGAAGAGGGACGCACTGCGCCACGCTGGTGTTAACTGGCATTAACCATGAGATTAATAAAGTTTTTGAAAATCCTACCACGTTTGCTGTTTTTATTGAAAACGTATACCTGCAAGCCCTAATGCATATTGTTTATTTATTTTTATAATGGTTAATATACCGCTCTGTGATCAGAAGTAACAATTTTAAAGTATTTCATTTCTTCATCTTTGAAAGACAGTGAAATAAAAACATCAAAACATCTTTCTTGTGAAAACCTTTTTTTATATTTTCTGAAAATGTCATAAATTCATCTAATTGAAAGCAAATTGGGGTCACTACTGGAAAGGCCACTTAATGTGTTTTCTTTTACCCAAGTAAGTAATATCCAGAGCTAAAATACCAACATCTGTTGTACCTTAAACAGTTTTCTAACCCTCGTTGGTATCGCCACAATACATTCAAATAAACAATGAAGTGCTAACAGTAGGCTCTGATTGTATCTGACGACCATTGTTCTGTGGGATAATCGTCTCTGTCCTGTAGATAAACCTGTCAGACAGACGGCCTGCTGTGTGTGTGTGTTGTCTGTAGGAGGACCTAAAAGCACAGCCTGTGCACTGTACACTATAGAACCCCCAAAAAAAAAAAAAATTCTTTTGAGGGTTCTGTGGGGTAGCTTGACGTTTCATAGAGGGTGCTCAAACATTTAGGGTTTCCCATTAATGTCCCGGGCGCTGCAGTGGAATACGCACACATGGGGGGTGGACCTAACATCGGGAGCATGCTCCCCCGGGAAGATTTTTTTTTAATATTGAAGTTAAATGCATCAATCTGGTGCACTTCGAGAGCAAAATGAAGAGATCGATGGATACATCTCTCAACACCCATATGAAACAACTGTACACAGATTTACTATTTCTTCATGGATATTTTACAAATCACTCTCCTTTTAAACTGTATTCTTGTTTTACTGTCATATTATATTTCATACCTGTTTTTCATTTATGCTCTTTATTTTTATACCTATAATGATCATATAAACGTGTGCCTCGGAAATAGTTATTTACATTAATCGTGACCAAACCGTTTGAGACCCACTGAGATAACTTAGACTAAAGTTAACTATCTAAACACTAAACATCTAAAGTATTTTACTTCACCTGAGCTGAGGTTATCTGAGCCTCTCATGTCTGTCTGACAGGAGAGAGTTCTCCCTCCACCTTGTTGTTGAAAAAGCTCCTTATATCCGTTAGCATAGCTAGCTAGCACCAGATGGTAACCACAACGATCTCCGGCACCAGGCACGCTCTCTCTCTCTCGCTCGCGCACACAAAATGGCTCGTGCCACACACACACAGAGCAGAGCTTGAATGAAACGGAGACCCAGAAGTACGCTACTTGTTCTGTACTGTAGCATATTATTTTCAAATCAATCATTTTTCAAATTATGAATTTTACACACAAAAGAAAAAGACACATACATTTCTTGGGGGTGCTATGGCTATCCTGGGGGGTGCTTCAACTAATCAAGTTTTTTCTTTTTATGTATTTGAGAAATGGGAAGTTCCTGCTTTTCATATTCTAGTGTACAGTTAAATGTCTCAATATTAGTGTAGACAAGCCCGTTATATAACATATTTCTTTATCTGTGTTTATAAGACGCTAACTTTACTATTTATGTGTGTATGTATTCATCTGAATAAGTGTGAAAAGCAGATATTTTTCTATCCTTTTTAGACTTTTCTTTTGGATAATAAAAGTTGTTCTCATTTATTTGTAAGTGCGCTGACACACTGTTGCCTCTCTGTGCCGGTGGGTATCAAAGTGTCGGGTTTATTTGGGCATCTCAGATTTACCACAGCTCACAAGGTGCTGGGACCAGCCTGGGGACGAACTGTTAATCTGCATCTTCTTAAAGCGGTACGTGGCTCAACATGATTGCTTTTGGCCTTTTTAGTATTCTTTTAATCTCTTTGCATCTCTGTACTTGGAGTCTATATTTGTTAGCATTTTGGCAAACTGGTGCTATGAATAGTTTGTTAAATTAGCTGCTACTGTCTGTTGGTGCACGGACAACTACTGGATTATTTAAAACAAGTTGTAGCGTCTCGGTTCCTACTTTTATAAATAGATTATTTGATGTTTATTTATGAAGAACCCCAGAGATAATGATTTAAACTGAATAATTGTACTGTGTTTAATGTCAAAGACTGTTTTTGAGAGATTTGATCTGATATTTGACTGAGTATTATTTTTGACTCAAGTTCATTTCACACACATTCCTCCAAATAAAGTCAGAATTATTTGATAATATGCTCCACGTTCCTCCTCTGTATATCTCCTGTTTATCTACCATATATCTACAGTTTACGATGCTGTATGGAGGCATCGCTGGTGTTCAGACTCCATGAGCGAGGTCCAGAGGTTGTGAGGGAGGTGCTCTTGGAGCGAGGATGGGAGGAATATGATGAGGAGGAACGGGAGGAAGAGGACTGGAACTTGTACTGGAGAGGATCTGCGTTTCGCAACTCAGAATATCTCAACCTAATGCCATGGCAGCGCCTCAACCACCATCCCAAGACTGTCGGCATCACACGCAAGGTGAGGACGCTCTGAAATGTGGTGTTAAATGTGTGTGTTGAAGGAATGCAGAGAGATTTTAGTGCTATTATATATGATACAGAGACATGAATCATCAGTGTTACTGTTTAGTGTTTGTGCTTTTTGTTACACGATGTGTCACAACTTTCAGTATGGTTATGAGTTTGTAACAGATCTCCACCAGATGTAAATGCAATCTGTACTTTCTGAAGAAATAAATCTGCCCAGCATGTTAGGACAATGAAATATTATCACAACAACCTATACAACACACTACAAGAAAAAGCTTAACAAGGCCTCTTATAGTTAAAATGATCCCTCTCTAAAATGTCTCCTTTTTTGATAGGACTGTTTGGCACGCAACCTGAGGAGAATGAGAACCACGTTCGGTTCGTCTCTCTACGACTTCAGTCCCACCGCCTTCATCCTGCCCAACGACTACACTCGCTTCCTGTCTGAGTACAACAAAGTGACCAGAGGACCGTCGGCCTATTGGATCTGTAAGCCTGTGGATCTCTCCAGAGGCCGAGGCATCTTCATCTTCGAGGATATGAGGGAGTTAGTCTACGACTGCCCAGTGATCGTACAGCGCTACATCAGTAACCCTCTGCTCATCTCCGGCTACAAGTTCGACCTGAGGATCTACGTCTGTGTGAAGAGCTTCCATCCACTCACGGTTTACATTCACCAGGAAGGTCTGGTGCGCTTTGCCACCGAGAAGTACAACCTGTCATCTCTGCACAACCTGTACGCTCATCTCACCAACACCAGCATCAATAAGTTCAGCCTCTTCTACAAGTCGGAGAAGGAGAGAGTGGGCCGAGGCTGCAAGTGGACCATGAGCAAGTTCAGGCACTTCCTCCAGAGCCAAGACATCAACGAGCTCCTTTTGTGGCAGAGGATCAATAACATCGTGACTCTGACGCTCCTCACCATCGCTCCCACCGTCCCTTCCTGTCCGAACTGCGTGGAGCTGTTGGGGTTCGACATCCTGCTCGATGCAGAGTTCAAACCGTGGCTTCTGGAGGTGAACGACAGCCCCGCGCTGACTCTGGACTGCCAAGCTGATATCACGGTGAAGAGAGGGCTCATTAGCGATCTGATTGATTTGATGAATTATACATTGACTGACAGCTTGAGAGAGAGGGCGTTTCAGAGACAAGGGTACAACAAACCTTGTATCCATGCTCAACATGCATCACCTGTTTCAATACCTGTGCTTAAAGAAACCAAATATCAGAAGCGAAGAAACCAATCTTTACAGACTCTCCCTAAGATAAAAACTCATCACCACCCTGAAAAAATCAACCAAAGACAACATGCTTTTGCAGCGGTTTACCAAAGACACCTTCCCCCTGTTCACCTAAACAAGAAGTATGCATCCAAAGTAGAGGCAGCCAACAAATCCGACACCGATGACAGGACCTTAAACCTGATCCTCGGCCCACAGTCGAGAACAGACGTGTCAGTGGTGAACAGACAGACGTGGCCAGATCGTGCCCCGTGGCTGACAGACAACAGGAGTCTTCGTGTGTCTGAGGTTACAAACTACGACGACACTGAAACAGAAGCCGAGGCGCACGTTTCCTTTTCGTTAGCAGAGATCCCACACAGGGGGCTTGGATTCAGACGTGAAAAGCTCCCGGACATTTACAGGTAAATACAAAACTAGTGTGCCGTCTGTGAGTTTGTAAAAATAGAACAAATTCATTGTTTTTGTATGGATTACTGAATGAGTACAAATGCTTCCCCCTGACCTTTTGAGAAACCGGCTCAAGATACACTTTTTGTTATATTCCATGGAATGCTCTTAACATCCTGATAGCAATGAATATCTGAAGTGCTTTGACAATAAATCCATGAAGAAATTCATCTGTGGAAGCCGTAGTACTGTAAAAAGTACGACCAATCATTTTAGCCGGCCCGGCTAAAATAACTGGATGGCCTACCTGCCTGTCAGCCTTCCATCTGTGCACAAACTTATCTCGTGCCCTCATTGGTCATGTGCGCGTTCGTGTGTGTTGGAGGAGGGGCTCTGTAAGGAAGTGGCAGATTTTTTCCGGCTGTGTATTTTCAAATTCTAGCGCACTCGAGCCGGTTTCTCCAAAATTACCGACCCTACCTTTAAGTATGGCATATTTTCATTTAAATGTTTATTTGCCTAAAGTTAATGAAAGTGTGTTTTTGTGTTAAAGGTTTTCAACCTAAATGATGCAACAGGAAGCTAAATGAAGGCTGAATTAAGCAAAAATAAATCTACAATAACTCAAATAAAGAGGAAAGATTCAAATTTGAGTTGTCCTTTTGGAGTGAACCAAGTCATTTTCAAGTTTAGGCAGGAGTCAATCGAGCAAACCATATCATAACTTGACAACCACTATGAAAAGGGAAAAGACACAACATGACGAATAAACAACAAAAAAAAGACCAAAGAATCACAAAAGTGACACGAAACAACAAAAGAGGCTCGCTAAAATAAATGTGTGTGTCTGCTCCTATGTAGTATACAAACTCAGTTCATTGCTAATTATTCCCTCCAGTAAATATTTGTTTATGAATTCACAAGACATTTTGATCAAGTATGCAGGAATGTATGTCATTATTATTATCATCGTGTAATTCTTGTTTTCATTCCCTTACCCACATTAATGACCCAACCATTCATTCAGATAACAAACACATGTTGTGATTGTTTCACAGTGGGATTCGGAGAGTAAGAAAAGAGAGGACGGCAGCACTGAACCGACAACACGTTCCTCCACTCAGAGTCGGAGACTTTATCCGGACGTTCCCGTTCAACGCAGCCACTCTGAAGGCCTCGCAGCACACACTGGATGTTAAAAAAGTTATTCATGAGCTGCACAAGCTCACTGCTCAGCTGGCTTCAAGAAAGAAGTTGAAGAGACGAGAGGAGGAGGAGAGAGATGGTGAAGAAGACTTTGATTCTCTGTTGTGGGGGCCGAAGGATCCTCCATTGCTCGGTCATTGTGTTAAACCCTTTTAGAGGTGCATTTCTTTCTTTCAGACTCTGATGCAAAGCTTGATTCCTTACTTTCTAAAAAAGGGAAATGCAAACATCACTTTTCCGGGGAAGAATGGTTTGGGAATTCTGCTAACAGCTGTTCAAAGTAATGAATTGTACATCACTTGTACACACACATGATATTAATTAAATATGATTATTTGTATGAAATATGTTCCTCTGTACCCTTAAAAAAGCTTGAATACTTAGATTGATATGAAGTTGAATACTGTTTTTTCCACACATGGTGAAGGTGGGGTAGGTAATTCACTTCAGAAACACTTTTTGTTATATTCCATGGAATGCCGACATCCCGATAGCAATGAATATATTAAATGCTTTGACAATAAATACATTAAAACATTTCATCTGTGGAAGCCGTGGCGCTGTAAAAAGCACGACCAATCATCTGAGCCGGCCCGGCTAAAGTAACTGGATGGCCTACCTGCCTCATTCGTGCCCTCATTGGTCATGTGCGCGTTCATGTGTGTTGGAGGAGGGGCTCTGTAAGGAAGTCAAATTCTAGCGCACTCGAGCTGGTTTCTCCATTCTTACCTACCCTACCTTAAGTTGTGAAAGTAAAATGAGGTTTGGCGCAGGCAGCATATCGACTGCATGAACATGTAATGAGATCAGTCAGGGCTTTGACACCATCTTTTGTCGTCTTCATCAATTATTGCCGGGATGCTTAACAGTGTATTAAATACTTCCATTTTAAGTGTTTGAGGCCACTGAGAATCTGGATGAATAATTCTGTTGAAAAACATTTCAATATTAAGGGAAGAGATGGAATAGATTTTTTTCCAACATGTTCAAAAATGTAAGCAGGAGGAAGTAATTATTTCGATCATGTCTTATACCACATTTTTACATTTGATCAATGCATACAAATTCAGCCCTTGTGTTTGCCATTCACGCCTTGATCAACTTAAAGGAAAATAAAGCTTTCCAAACAAAACAGGGACACTTCAAAACTATCAAATAATACAATAAAATACATGTTTCCCCTCAATTCAATGTGGTTTTTTAAATTGTGTTGAAATCTGAAAAAAAACATGTCTTTATTTTCACTAGTTTTTCCATATGAATTCCTTTGACTATAATACAATATATTTAGCATTAGCCTTGACAAGTTGTTTATTATACACAAATTCCTATTGTACATTACTCTAAGATTTGTATAGGCTGTCTTTATTATACAACATGCCTAAGATATTGCACCGTCTGCTACATGATTTGTGACTAAAGATAAGATCATACAGTGTGTTTCACCTCCGACAGTCCCTCCAGGCTGTGTGCAGAACATCTTCTGTCCTCTAGACGGCGCTGTGGTGTAACTGAGTTTCTTCCTCAGTTCCCTCTCATCAGAGCCTCCAGCTGTTCAACTTCAGACCAATCAGCATCTCCTGCTGCCTGAGCGTGTGCACACACACACACACACACACAGAGTTGGTGACTCATGTGTTGACTTAGTGGGAGTATGTTTGTAAATGTTTGCTCAGATTTACGCCCTGTTGTGTTTAACACTTCTGCATCAGACCTGATGGATGTGGCTCAGGGGGTAATTATGTTTCTAGTAATCATACTGTAACCGGTTTGATCCCGACCCCTGCAGTCAACAAGTGTCCCTGGCTGAGGTACTTAATAGCTTTGGATAAAAGCATTTGCTAAATAACATGTGGTAATAATGACATTAGTCTCAGATACCAGGAAGTAGCTTCAAGGTATACGTCAAAATGAAAGTGAAAACATGTTAATCCTAAACCATGCCATACTGATAAATTATTTAAATAAAATGTTCATATTTAACATGTCATAATGAAACCTTTTAATCTTACTTATCACTGAATTGGGGTGGGTCAACATTCAAGATTATGGTATTATATTATATCATTATGTATTTAACATGCCACATAACTGCTTCTCTATTTTACCTGGAACATATTAGAGGAAAAAGGTATATAAAAATACAACTAATTTAATAAATGCAACGTCCATCCTCTGCTGTGTATTGCCCTCACATGAATGTAATCTGATTAAATTGTCTCTCATCACATGATTGTCTTGAGACACAAACCAACCACACAATTCACAGTATCCTGCTGTTGGTTTGAATGTCTTACTGACCATAATAGTCACTATTCTCACAGTCCTTTTTGATAATGTGTTTATCACGTGCAAGGCCATCATTATGTCAGCTCTCTTTCGTAGTTCACTATATTTTAGACTATTGCTTCACTTCTGTGTTTTTATTCTTATGTGTCTAACCTTGATTTATGTGTGTATAGTTTCTTTGTATGTGTAAAATAAGTTACATGATGCCTAGATTTCCCTTCATCAAACAGGTTCTACACATTTCTGATCTAAAGAAAAAGCTGAGTCAGTCTAAAATGATATTAAAATCTTTTTAGACTACTGTTGCTTTGTTATTCTATAATGGAACATTATAGAATGAACCAGAGGAGTTAACAAAGCTGGGATTAAATGCTGTCTGGTAAATATGCTCTGGGTGAAGTGAGGCCATTTCTAATTGTTCAAACAGCCTGCCACCCTCTCAAGTTTCTTGGACAACATCTGACTGAAATAGCCTTTGTTTCTCGGTCTTTACAGAACCAATGTTTGCACAACACTCTGTAGGAATGTTAATGGAGACATATTCTTCTCATATTCAGGTTCATATCAGTATGTAGTGTCTCTACTTTAAAGAGTCCTCTCCTGCTGATGTTCAGGTGTATATCAGTATGTAGTGCCTCTACTTTAAAGAGTCCTCTCCTGCTGATGTTCAGGTGTATATCAGTATGTAGTGTCTCTACTTTAAAGAGTCCTCTCCTGCTGATGTTCAGGTGTATATCAGTATGTAGTGTCTCTACTTTAAAGAGTCCTCTCCTGCTGATGTTCAGGTGTATATCAGTATGTAGTGTCTCTACTTTAAAGAGTCCTCTCCTGTTGATGTTCAGGTGTATATCAGTATGTAGTGTCTCTACTTTAAAGAGTCCTCTCCTGCTGATGTTCAGGTGTATATCAGTATGTAGTGTCTCTACTTTAAAGAGTCCTCTCCAGCTGATGTTCAGGTGTATATCAGTATGTAGTGTCTCTACTTTAAAGAGTCCTCTCCTGCTGATGTTCAGGTGTATATCAGTATGTAGTGTCTCTACTTTAAAGAGTGCTCTCCTGCTGATGTTCAGGTGTATATCAGTATGTAGTGTCTCTACTTTAAAGAGTCCTCTCCTGCTGATGTTCAGGTGTATATCAGTATGTAGTGTCTCTACTGTGACATGTCTCCATGCTTTAATGTTCAAAAAGCTCTTTCTCATGCTGCCTGTGCTGCAGCACAGAGAGACTCCCTCTGGAGGGAACAAAGTGATGTAAGCCTTTGCAGACCGTTTACATGCTTAATTACATTTCTGTGGCAGCCATATAAGACATACTGTAGTTTACCACGCCTCCTGACATTACGTTTGAAACATGATGGGATAATCGTTTCTAGTATGACAAGCAGGTGAAGACATCAGAGAAAAAACAGGCAATAACTTGTCTCAGGTGTTTTCCAGAAAATACAAGTTATTCCCGGGACAATACTGTACGTGCTGCCGAGTGTGAATAATGCAAACAAAGAACAAGAACACCAATGTGCATGTTATTTCAACATTAGTCAGATATTATGTAATTTCCTGCTGTTCATTCCTGACGCAATACCAACAAACAACACGCTCTCTTGTTGTTCAGGGCAGGTCGGTTTCACTTTACCTTGTATTTAAAGGGTGAATGAGTTCCTGAAAGCATTGTTTAAGTTATGCTTTGACATAGTTTGTTATCTACCGGTGGTACCAGTTCTGCAAAACACGCTGCAGTGTGGGCGGTAATCATGGCTGCAGGGAATCTGGAAGGAGCTTAAGAAATGCCGAAAGGTAAATGATGAGTGTCACACAGTGATTTCCCAAGGTAAGATTTTTTAACAATCAAACGAGTTTTAGTGGGAAAGCTGGTGTTGTGAAACAGGCCAGTGATGTCATGAGAAAAACTGAAGCGGTTTGTTAAGTAACAATTACGCAGACTTGCCGCAGCCAAAACACAATTTGTTTTATTGAATGATATTAACGTGTTGTTTTATCTTTTAATAATGTCAATGAATACCTTGTAAAAATGCAGACAGTCAATTTGACTTACTAACTACTGTTGCTACAGAATACCGCTTGTGTGCCAGTGTTGTTGAAGCATGCTGTTGCATCAGGTTACAAACAACTAGCCAAGATGATCAGATTAGATACACCACATTGATCCCATGCTGGTTAATACTGTTACAGCAGTATGTAAACACGGCATTGCACAATAAAAATAATCATAAACAGTTCATATATCAATAAACAGAGCAGTATATATATTTAGATAGAGTATCTCTATCAAATACACATTATAAATACAAGTTAGTAAACACTGTATATATGAGTTTATTGAAGCTGAACTCAAATCTGAACAGTTGCCCTATAATTGTCTTGGTATGAATGTCAGACTTAAGCTTAATGTCATATTGCTGTAGTGTCTTTCCCACGTGTCTCATGAGATTAAATCATGCTTTCCAATAAGACCAACTGTCCAGATATAGTTTAAAATGTCTCTCACCAAAAACTCACCTGGACTTCACTGGTTTCCAGTTTTTGCAGACTTTTTGATTTCTCATGTCTCTGTCAGAGAGGATGGTATCTCCTTTGCAGACCCTCTTCATGTCCTCTGTCTGATCCCCTCTTTCTCTGCATATAAACAGAGACATTTAAGAAATAAAGCAAGATATTAGAAACAATAACATAGTTTATCATGTTCACTATCTTGTGTTAGCATGTAAGCTTGACAACATTTGGTTATTTCACTGTACAGCAGTACAGCTGATGGGAATAACACTAGTTTTTTTAAGGTATGTTTTGGTTATATAGCATCCAGAGAAACCAGGGATGTCTGTATATTACATTTGTTAGATGTATGGTGTTAAGGAAATTGTGCAATCAAATGTGTTAACATTGCTAACCTTAGTTTCTCTGATTAGGTCATCTCTCTGGGAGTGAACCTTAAATGTATGTGTGGTCAACAGACGTGTTTAGGGGGTGAGGTTTTTGCATACTGTGTCTGAGGGGTATCTGTATATCCCACTGTCTTGTAGGGTGTGATGGTTGTAATGTAAATCTGCTTTGATGTCCTCTTATAAAGAGAGCCTGTTTTACTCAGAACAGGACGTTCTCCGTTGGAGGAGACGTCATACTTGCAAGTATAAAGATCTTTATTGCTTTTAATACGAATATTGTGTTGCTGTACGTTTGTTACCTAACTGATTATTCTCTCTAGACCACAGCTGATTTTAAAGCTGCTACGACAATGGCAATCCATATCCAAGTCAAACCAAGTCTTTCAACTCCTCTGCCATTGTAATATTATACAACCGTTTAGTTTTGTTGATATTATTGCACTGAGTTAAGGTGGTTCAAATAGGTCAACAAGTAGGGAAGTGGCATTTTGTTGTGTAGATATGCCCATTGTTTCATGTGCGTGCTTTCTGTAGCAGGAAAGAAAAGATATGATGATAATGCAGAGAGGAAGCTTAAGCTAGCTTCATGCTAAACTGATGAAATGACAGCGGACTACTTCCTGTGCCAATGCAGCGCTGCATAGATGAGGCCGATTGCTGATCAGGTGATATATTACTACTGAATGAGTACTTTCAGCATAAATTCAATTTAGCTTGCTATCAGAATACCACACAAGCACTTTTTAGTAGAAAAATATGTTTGTGCAATTGTTGTTAAATCTGGAACATCAGGTTTCCTTTCCAAATCGGGGGATTGTACACATTCAGATATGAAGATTCAATGCAAACCATGCTATAATATATATGTTTAAACCAGGCGTCAAAGTGCCAATAGACAAGTTATTTTCTTTAACATGTCATTATAACGGAAATGTTGATTGCACAATGTACTGGCTAAAGAATAATGACACCATCAGCATTTAGTTTGGTTCTCTGAAAGTCAGCCAACACTAGCTTTAATAGTTCCTCAAAGCTGGATGATCTTATGCCTTCATGTGCATATTATTGACATCATAATGATGAGTGGCATTGAAAAGGAACTCTGATGTATGAGAATATTAGTTTTTTTGCCTGATAGTCTGAATAATTCTGCGAAAATTGTTCCTTAAAGTAGGCTCTGGGGAAAACGGAAAGCAAAAACTGGGCCAACAATAATACCACTTGTAAAAATGCTATGTGGGAAAAAGGTTGAAAACTCAATTGCCACTTCACATTTTTTAAGTATATGTCAAGATCAATTTAATCATATTTGTTGAGCTGTTAGTAGATAATTGTTGCTGAGGGCCTGATCCAGATCCAGGACTTGTGTCACGTTTCTGTTTTACTAGAAACTTCCATCCCTCCTCAGCATCACAGAATCCTCCTTTGAAAGGTTTCAAATGAAATGGGAATCCTGCAGCCCAAGAAGGGGAGGATGGGATGGGAGCTTGGGAAACTGGTGACACTGGGAGGGTTATCTTCATCCTCACTGCCACCACCAGTAAGGCTTCTCTGAGAGGAATGTGTGGGAAATGAATTCAGAGGTGTTGGGACTTGACTTGGTGCACAAAGACTAAATGTGGTTGTTGTTGTTGTAGCTTGTTTTAGACCTTTGACCCGGTTTCAGCATGATCTGCTTCCTGGCCTTGACTTGCTGCCCTGGCAGAGACGAAAATGTGTTTTTGTTTCATCACAGCCCGTGGATAGAGTTTCCATGTCAAAGCTTTAGACACTCTCTATGTGGTCATTCTTAAAACTAACAATAACTTCCTGATTTCTGCAGGCCCGAGGGGAATATCTGTTGTCTTTCACAGGGGGGGGGATGTTTAAATGTTGCATTAAGTTGATTCATATGCATGTTCGGGTGTGGAGACGTGAGCTTTCTGCTTTTTCTCACTGAACATCTGAGTTACAGACATTTTTCTAGGAGGTGCTGTAAATTCAACTGACCTTTCACCTCGTCTTTGTCAACAAGATTTCCTGCAGTTTCACCCATGTTTTCCATTTCTTGGTGCCTCAACCTTTTCTCTCCAGTAGACTTGCGAACAAAGGGCGTCGGCTCAGAAGGTGATTGAATAATTCTGCCTTCTTACTCAAGGTTATCACTGTTCCATTTTTCTTCCACATGCGTTTTCTCTCTGGACTTTCACTTCACTGTCTGTGGTAATCTGTTTTACTTGGAGATGCAGAGTTTCAGGTTGAAGAAACAGAGGAGTGATGAAGTAAATTTGTTCTTGGCTGCGGACCCGAGAAAAGATCTCACCCCGAGCTCGATATCTGTTCAGGTCTTTCTCTGGCTGCACTCGTCTGTTTTACTTGGAGATGCAGAGTTTCAGGTTGAAGAAACAGAGGAGTGATGAAGTCAATTTGTTCTTGGCTGCGGACCCAAGAAAAGATCTCACCCCGAGCTCGATATCTGTTCAGGTCTTTCTCTGGCTGCACTCATCTGTTTTACTTGGAGATGCAGAGTTTCAGGTTGAAGAAACAGAGGAGTGTTGAAGTAAATGTGTTCTTGGCTGCGGACCCAAGAAAAGATCTCTACGGTGGCCCTGAAGTGCAAGACACCACAGCCTTTCAGAAAACACTACAGCATTTCAGAAAACACTACAGCATTTCAGAAAACACCACAGCATTTCAGAAAACACTACAGCATTTCAGAAAACACCACAGCATTTCAGAAAACACCACAGCATTTCAGAAAACACCACAGCATTTCAGAAAACACTACAGCATTTCAGAAAACACCACAGCATTTCAGAAAACACCACAGCATTTCAGAAAACACTACAGCATTTCAGAAAACACCACAGCATTTCACATTGGACGGAAAGGGTATTCCTTTAGGGAGAACACTTCTTGTTTGTGATTTGACAGAGCCAGCCAGAGAAGCACTGCTGTGATTGGTTGTTTTTGCTGCCAGTCAAGAAATGACGCTTCGTGATTGGTCAGCACCCGACAGCGCAATATGTCCCAACACATCAACCGTTAGCTGTTAGCACTCAGAGCTCACAGCTCCTCATATCTGTTCAGAAACTGGACAAAAGTTAAACAAGTACAAACCACAGACTGTGTCATGGCGAATACAGTCGCTGCTTTATTTATCTCTGTATGACTTTGTTGTGAGTGTGGACGGAGCAGCTACAGGTTAGTTTAGCCTGATGGATCCGATTCCATTCAGAAAACACACATTCTAAAAGCTTTTCGCCTGCCGTCTTGTCTGGAGACTTGTCAAAGCATTAATTCATGGTTTTTACTAACCGGTATCAGTATGTAGTTACTTCGGCATCACTTTGAAACGTGTATTACAATTAAATTACGGTCAAATATGTTCATTTTGTTGTAGTTGGTATCTCCCATAGGATTTACATGGAGATACGCCCCGCCCCCTCTCCAGCGCGTCTTGTTTGAATGACAGGAACAAACACAGCTGACAGCCGCGGTGAAACTCGAGCGATTAGAGCGATGCGAATATTGGGTAGTCTACCATAGTATTCACATGGAGATAAGCCCCTTAAAAACCATGAATTAATAAAGCATTAATTCATGTCTTTTTCGCATTGCTCGAGTTTCACCGCGGCTGTCAGCTATGTTTACTTCTGTCATTCAAACAAGACGTGCTGGAGAGGGGGCGGATCGATCAGGCTAAACTAACCTGTAGCTGCTCCGTCCACACTCACAACAGCGTCATACAGACATAAATAAAGCAGCGACTGTATTCGCCATGACACAGACAGTCTGTGTTTTGTATGTTTAACTGTTGTCGAGTTTCTGAACAGATATGAGGAGCTGTGAGCTCTGAGTGCTAACAGCTAACGGTTGATGTGCTGGGACATGTTGCGCTGTCGGGTGGTGATCAATCACGAAGCGTCATTTCTTGACTGGCAGCAAAAACAACCAATCACAGCAGTGCTTCTCTGGCTGGCTCTGTCCAATCACAAACAAGAAGTGTTCTCCCTAAAGGAATACCCTTTCCGTCCAATATGAAATGCTGTGGCGTTTCCTGAAATGCTGTAGTGTTTTCTGAAATGCTGTGGTGTCTTGCACTTCAGGGCCACCGTAGATCTCACCCTGAGCTTGATATCTGTTCAGGTCTTTTCTCTGGCTTCACTCGGGTGTCTGAGGATCACATTAACCGTAGCAAAAGTTTGTGAAGTACTCAACTTTTGGCTATGCTCAGGCTGAAAGGTCAAGGACTCGAAGGCTTCCAGCTGCATTCCCTTAGGTTTAAAGACCATAAATGGGGCAGAGGTTATCTTCATACTGGGCTGAAAAAAGACCTCCTCTGGAGTTCCTGCTGATCAGAGACCTTCAGATTATTTCTGTGCATACTGGAGATGTCCTCACTCTAATGCAAGATGTAACGTCTCTCTGTTAAACTCATCATTTGGGTGGCTTTTGCCGATATTTCTGGAAAATAAGCCCAATCATTTTTAAAGTAAAGCGTGAAACAAATGTTCTACTTTCTAGTTATCTCAGATGTGCAATCAGATAAGGTTTACAAGAAACACCAGCCGTAAGCCAGCCGTCTGAGTACCTGTCTTCGGAGTTAACAGAGCGGATATTAACTATGACATCCACCCTGTTAACCCTGAAGACACTTCGTCCAGCTTTTATCTGTTTAGTCTGAGTCTTACCAGTCCCTGGGGTGGGATGAATATGCTCTGCTTTCCCTTTTTTTTTTATCTAAATGCTTTTGAATGGGACAAAACATGTAAAATGCAGAACAGTAATATACAAAGATCAGGAATGAGTGCTTCTGCTGGATAACACATGAAGTAAAGCTTCACTGTGTGCACGCTTGAAGCCAAAAGTATGTGCTAAACATCTCAGCCTCCTGTGAGAAAGTATGGATGACAGCGAGAAATCTCTGAACAGCTTTGAGTTATAGCAGCAGGTACAACTTTACACTGAGTGTTACTGGAGTCACAGGTCTGCTTGACAAAGTGAGAACACTGGTCTGATTGTTAATCTGTCTGAGAGGCTAAGCATCGTCTTCCTCTGATGCCGCACCGCTCAGATTCCTGCTGCATCCAACACTCACAATAAACAAGCCATGATTTAAAAAACTAAAAAGAATTACCTGGAAGATGTCATGTTTATAATTTGAATAGTACGTGTTATTCAAACATTTCAATAATCAGCTTTTTACTGACTTTGGAACGGCATCTGTAGAAGCCACATTTATGCTGCAATATGAAAGGTATTTTACATGTTATGAGCCAACTCTGCTAATTAAAATAACAGCACAAATACTGGAGAAGCACAATGACATATAGACAGAAACCACATTTCATTTATTATAAATGAGAATGAGCTCTTCCCTAATTTCTTTGCTCTGTAGCAACAAGGAAATACTTTGTTGACACAACATCAACAATATATTGAGAGTATCGTATTGCGCGTAAATGAATCATAAGTTAAAAGCAACGCGTCTGTGTTTCCCATAATTGCAGGGATAGCTTTAAAGGTCCCATGTCATGGCCATTTCTACTGATCATAATTCCATTGTTGAGGTCTACTAAAATAAATTTATATTGTGCAATTTTCCAAAATCACATTGGTTTCTCATACAGCATCTCTGTATAGTATGTGTATTCACTCTCTGTCCTAAACGGCTTGTTGGAGCTCCTGCCCCCCCCCCTCCCTATGAGCCCAGTGGCCGTCTGCGAGACAGCGAGACACAGCGAAACCCAGCCCGAACACACACACACACACACCCGCAGCCTGGCTGGGAGTTTGTGTGTGTGCTCACACTGACTCACAGCCTCACCGCGTCCCGCCGTCTCAGGGAGGAGAAATCGGCGGAGCTGCAGCTGAGAAAAGATTCAGTGTGTGTGTGTGTGAGGAAGTCCGCCGATTGGTGGCGGACTTAACGTAACGGCTCCATGGATTGGTCCATTTTGACCAATCCACGGAGGGGTCGTCGTTACGTCACTTGGTTCCCGGAAGAAACTAATTGAAAAAGATCATCTCCAACGAGGCGTTCTGGGGCAGCATAGACAGGTCTTTTCTGTGTTAGAGTTTTACTCGCTACAGGGTGTACTTTGAGGGTTTGTGACTCTGCAGACCGTTTACATGCAGAAAAACCTGCTGGGTAATAACCGGAAAAGCATGACATGGGACCTTTAAATTACGACATGAAATTGCCCTACTATCAATCCTTATCATAAAACGTATCTTGCTGGTAGCTAAAGTCAGGCTGTTGAGTAGATACAGAGGGCCATCAGACCCTTCAATTACACTTTGATCCTCTGCATTGTTAACTGACTAAGCCAATATTAAATGTAATAATTGTCTGACTGGAGGAGAAGGGAAGATAAATGATCATAAAAGGTAATGATCTCACACCTTTAAATCCAGGACAAGTTCAATTGAATCAAACTCACATTCACACATATAAATCTTAGATCAAAGCTAAATAATGCATTAATCATCTCAAGCAATAAAGCATAGGGATTAAGGGATACATGATCACAAAACAAACAGAATAGACGCATTGATTTATAACAAAGTGAAGTTTTCGTGTACCTAGTCACGAGGTCATGTCCTCCCCACATCTCGAAAACCTGTTTTAATCTTGCGAGCTGTCTGGACTTGTAGCTGCAGGAGTTTGAAGCATGCAACGTTTGAGGCATGCAGAGTTGAGTGAGAGGCCCAAAGCTATCCCCCCTTCTCCTCCCTTAGGACTTAACATTCCTTGCAACCCCATTGACTTTTCCTTACATAGTAGAACAAAATGACAGCAGCACTATATCTATCTACTCAATGCGTACACGTACATTCATCATCAATTCCCAGGGAACCACATCTGCTTACTCTCAGGACAAAGTTCCTAAAAATGTCCCTTTTTAGCATTTTAGCATCTGCGAAGAACGCGCGCAATATTGAACAGAGAGCAAAGAGCGGAAGTGTTTGAAAGCTGTCATTCAGTAGCTTCTGGGATTTACTGAGCCCTCAGAGTAGAACAACGGCTATTCTCACAGTTTGTGCCAGGAAATTGGATTATGCATTGAAGGAATATGAAATGTACCATTGGCTGCCTGTCAAAAGTCAATCAGTGTTAGCAATCAGTAACAGAATGTTCTCATAAGGATCCAGCAAGGGCTTGTCAGGGCTTAGCACAGCGCGCAGACTTTGACTGAGTTTCATCTCTTAAAGACACCACCTTTGTGTTTAGTTTGATGTTTACTACATCCTATATTGCTGTTAAGAAACTGTCTTTTGGTACTATGTATTTCAAATGTAACAGGCTGGTTTTACTCCTTGTTAGGACCACTGATCCAACATTGGAAAAGCAGCTGTTGACTCACCTCCTCAGGCTACAGTGTAAGGCGGAGCTACAAGCACAGGGGCTGAACTGCAACAAAACTCAAAGAAACCGTGAAGCATTTTTGCTCTGCACTCTGAGAGAATCACTCCAAGGATCAGGAGATCCTAACACCAAAGACTTTTGAAAACGGAAAAACACACGAGGACATTTCAAACCTAAAAAAGGAGTAAAACAGGAAGGCATTGGCAAAACTTGTTTGGCAAGTTTGTTTTGTGGGTGAGACTTCACGTTTGCAGGGATTTCCTTGTCAGATTAAAAGAGAACACTTTGCTGGAACACAGGAAAGTGTATTTCACTGTTAAAATGGCAAACGCCACTGTACTTACCACTGTACTTACCACTGTATCTACCACTGTATCTCCCTACCAAAGTATTGAGGACTGCCTTGCCACAAACAAGGCTCTGTATAAATTCTATGCAGCTGTCATAATTATAATTTGCATCCTGGCATTGCCTCTGAACGCATCTGTCCTCCACCTCTTCATATTCAAGCTGAAATTCTGGAAATCCAACACCAACAACGTATTCCTCTTCAACCTGGTGTTGGCTGACATTCTCCTGCTCTTCTGTTTGCCCATAAAGGCATACAACTTCATCCAAGGAGAGAGGAGGAGTGATAACGACACCGTGTGCAAAGCCATGCTGTTCATGTTGTTTTTAAACCGAGGGGCCAGCATTGCCTTCCTGACGGTCACTTCCATTGATCGATATTTCAACGTGGTGCACCCAGGTCGAAAGAATCTTTTAAGAGCTCTCAAGAAATCTCCTCATATCTCTATCTTCATCTGGTTGCTTCTTCTGCCTCTCACCATCCCCACCATGCTCAAAAACTTTGATTGCTGCAACAGCCATGGCAAAAACCCAGAAGATGCTCCAGAAGATATATTGATTAAGGTAAGGTTTACTCATTAAATAAGTCATTATTGTAAAACGCTTTTAACAAGTTAGTTTTCTATTGGTATGTTTTCAGTATCAGTCCCCAAAATTAGGTTAAACTGCATGAGATGAGTGAAACGGAGTAATTCATCCCAAACGGTTAGGATTTACTTGGTAATGTTTTTGTTTTGGGTGTGTTTCATTCACGTGTTTCTCACACTCAAATGTGGCAACGCTGTGCTGAGTGTGCACATTTGGATAACCACACACCAACAGCTGCTTCATTTGAGCAATACACAGTTCACACAAAGTGCAGAAAAGTTCTGTGGAAACATCCCCTCAACCTAATGTAACAAAGATGATCATTTTATCAATGTTAGTACGGTGTTGAGAGGCCTAATCAGGAATGCCGTATGTAGGTCCAGTTCTAGGGAGTATTATCACTCAACAGCACCACTTACTGTAGATTAAGTCTGTTTCCAGAGCTATTTTTGCACTGACACAGCACATAGTGTTGCTACAATTAAGATATGTTAAACCTGGAGTGTGTCAAACTGCACTTAATATCACAGGGACAGCTAAAACCAAATTGATACTGTCAGTGTCATATAGATATTATGTTTATGGACAGTTACCAACAAAAGTATTTGAATCTGTTTTATCAAACTCAGACCCAAACGCCCAAAATGTTGTGTTCAATATGATAAACAGTACATTCAGAAAAATAAGGAAATCTCAATATTTGTGAGGTTGGAAAAAGCTTCTTAAGACTTTTATCATTATTTTAACAATTCATCAAACATACAAATATTTGGAGTTTATTTTTCTGGCGATCCATTTATCAATAAGCCAACTACTAATGTCTAGCGCTTTATACTTTACTATATTTACTTGTTACTTTACAAATAAGATTTTACATGAAATAAATATTTTGAATAGTGGTTAAACTTCTGACCGATGCTGTCCTGATGCTGACACAATTGGTAGAGACACAAGGGCCAAGTATTAACGAGAATGTGTTGTTGATATAAAAAAGACGATTAACTTGATATTTTTTCTTTTCTTCTGATTGAAGGATGTGGCGGACAGTTTGCGAGAGGTGGTCTTCTTCACCCAGATCCTCATCCCCTTCGTCATCCTGGTCTACTGCACCGTGCACATCGTCAACCGGCTCAGGAAAAAGACCGTGGGCGACAGGACGAAGCTGAAGCGAGCGGTGTTCCTGGTGACCTCCGTCATGGTGGTGTTCTCCCTCTGCTTCCTCCCCTGCACCATTGCCAGGATGATTCTGCTGATTGCCCGCGTCCAAGAATGGCCTCTGCCCCAGCAGGATAAAGCTGCGGTGCTCTTCGACGGCCTCATGGTGCTCTCCTACATAGACTGTCTTCTGGATCCGCTGGTCTACTGCTTCTGCAGCACCAAGTTCAAAGGGCTTTACTGCTCTACTTACTTCCCGTTCTTAGTGAAGGACGGTCAAGTGCCGATAGAAAGCTCATCGGCGGGACACACACTCCCACCTACACGCAATGCTGTCATTTGAAAACCATTTCAAACCAGGTTGTGTCTCTGTGTCAAGCAACCTAAACAGATTACTACCTGAGACTGACAGTGTGCCACCCCCCCAAAAAAAGTGCTTACTTTGAAAGGGGACTCTGAAGGCAAGTGAAGACAGTTGTTATTTAACTTTCTATAGATTCTCGAATAGAAGTATATACATATGTAAATAGAAAGATCTTGTTCTACCAGAGTGTGTTTTTATTAGCATTGTAGATGTACTATAGTAGTGATTCAATAGAATATTAATGTTGGTGGATTTTATTTTTGTGAAACATGAGGTTCTTGTTAAGGGGAATGCCCGTCTGCCAAAAATATGCACATCTGTTTTTCAGTTTCTCTTGGACAGCAAGTACTTTTGAGTTAAAAAAATCCTTTCAAATGCTCTCAGAAGAATGTGATCTTTCAAATCATATTAACCTCAGACGACTTTTAACTTAGCTTCCACTGTGTAACAAGCTTTAGTGATTGAAGCCATCAATTAAAGCACAGAAAATATAAACATGTCTTGGGACAAACATTTTCTATGAAGCTGCAAATGGTAAGAAATGTCCAAACTAAAGAAATGTAAGAGGGAGAATGAAATGTATGTAACTGAAGCATATAGCCATTGAGGTCATTACCCTATTACATAAGACTTAAACCTGAAGGCCCATACAGGAAGCTGATCCTTAATGTTGATTTATGATGGAATATCACTTTCTATGCTGTATGTAGAGAGAGAGAGGGGTTTATATGTTACTGTACATATTTATTCTAATAATAAAAAGACACTTAACTGTCCCTCATTATGTTCACTATTTACTGCATATGTGAAGATCAAGTTTGGGTTCCAAAAAAGAACATTCCCATACAACTACATATGGGAATACAGCTGCATTGTCAATTAAGTTTAGAGGGAAGCCCATTTTATGTTGGATACGTTTATTTGTTGATGTTTCACAAATCCATTTCTAAAGAAATCTGCAGCAGTCTGCGTAAGGCAAGGGTCAACAAACACAAGACTTCCACCCAGGAGACATGTATTTGTTTGAAATGTGAAACCAAAAGTCTTTCACATTAGCTTTTGTTCAATTTGTATCGTTTTAAAACATCGATTGAATCCAGAATGAAACATGTTTCCCTCTAATTAAATGTAATTGAGAATACAGTTTGGTTTAATGGGAAAAGCATTCTTTAAGAGTCAGGGTTGGAAAATCACATGCCTCACAGGAACGAATCATGACTCATACCTTTGACAAGACTAAACAATACTCTGCCTTAATTACAGAAACTCCACTGTCCATGTTCTGTGTAAGTCATCCTCACCTTTATGACCTCATTAACAGTAATAGTGCAGTGAGTAAGGATATGTCTGTCTGGGTATACTGTAGATAAATGCCCATTTTAAGTATTCCATCAGGTGACTGGGTTCAATGTCATGATGCATCATTGTGTATCATAAAACAAGTCATTGCTTTGTATCTGTGAGACGTTGAGTGAATAGGTAAAACAATACAATGACAAATTTGTGCCGTGGAATATTATGCAACCTTATGCAAAAGTGGAATTTAGTCATAAAATCTCATTTCTGACAAAAGGTGGGAACACAACTGAGGAAGAAGAAGCTACTTTGCCGTACACATGCCTACATGATTAAAAAAAAAAGCACTGATGCGTATTAAATAATATACTGTGTACACAACCTATTTGGCTTCGCAAATGTCCCATCTGCATAACTGATAACGTGTAACTCTGTATGTTAATAAGATCTGCAAATATTTACCGAGTAAAGAGAGGCACACGTGTCCTAAAGTCACATAAAGTACCATGATCTGAAATACCCTAAACACAATGTTTACAAGCTAACGACAATTTAAACACGCTATTTCTGCCACTCTACTGTTTTTTGTACAGTTAGGGAGCATAACAAACTGTATCAGGTGAGTAGATTTTAATGGGGAAAGTATATAATGTGTTTTTCTTGTACGCAATTGCTCATTCAATACACATGCGCCAGTCCTGTACCCACATTAATATAGTGTATCTTTAAATGCTCCAATCCGCCCAATTACAAGCAGGATATGATCTTTTTCAGTGGGTTCCAATATCTCTCATCTATAATGTTAAAATAAAAAAGTACGTCAGGTGATAATACAGCACTGTCACAAGAAAATTCCCACCGGTTCAGATATGAGTCAACATGCATTTGAGCAATCTTGAAACTTCTGTCCTGGGATAAAGAGTGGGTGTTGTTTTGAGTACTGACTGTATTGTGTTGGAAAAAATAAGCAAGTCATAAAAGGGTAAAAATACCTCTGGAAGTTTGTGGCTCTAAATATTGCGAAAGACGTAAATGTTTGACACATTTCGGTGATCATACAATCTTTAAGGTGAATGCAGTAATGCGAACCAGCACGTCGGCCTTATGACTAATCACAGAGGATGAACAAGGATGATCTAACATTAGTGCATTTTAAGCTCATGGCTTAAACATATTTCCTATCAGATTTATTATTAGCTTAGTTATTACAACTACCTGCTGTTTTATCACTGAAGTCTATTGCTTTCTGCTTTTACAAACGAGTAGGAAATAAGAATGAAAATAAATAGTAAAGCGTCAGGACATCAAAGTAAACATGTAGCTAGATTTTTATTACGTCACAGAACTTATTAAATATACTGGATACAAGATTGTGATCCGACACATTGTATGTGATAGGCTAGGGGGGCGGGACATCTTTAAGCGGTTGACCAATCACAACAGAGCCGGCCAGCTAACCAATCAGAGCAAACTGGGCTCTGGTTTCAGACAGAGGGTGAAAAGAGGTGCTGCAGCACAGGCAGTATGAGAAAAATAAAGAGCTTTTTGAACATTAAAGCATGGAGACATGTCCCAGTAGAGACACTACATACTGATATACACCTGAACATCAGCAGGAGAGAACTCTTTAAAGTAGAGACACTACAGTACATACTGATATACACCTGAACATCAGCAGGAGAGGACTCTTTAAAGTAGAGACACTACATACTGATATACACCTGAACATCAGCAGGAGAGGACTCTTTAAAGTAGAGACACTACATACTGATATACACCTGAACATCAGCAGGAGAGGACTCTTTAAAGTAGAGACACTACATACTGATATACACCTGAACATCAGCAGGAGAGGACTCTTTAAAGTAGAGACACTACATACTGATATACACCTGAACATCAGCAGGAGAGGACTCTTTAAAGTAGAGACACTACATACTGATATACACCTGAACATCAGCAGGAGAGGACTCTTTAAAGTAGAGATACTACATACTGATATACACCTGAACATCAGCAGGAGAGGACTCTTTAAAGTAGAGACACTACATACTGATATACACCTGAACATCAGCAGGAGAGAACTCTTTAAAGTAGAGACACTACATACTGATATACACCTGAACATCAGCAGGAGAGGACTCTTTAAAGTAGAGACACTACATACTGATATACACCTGAACATCAGCAGGAGAGGACTCTTTAAAGTAGAGACACTACATACTGATATACACCTGAACATCAGCAGGAGAGGACTCTTTAAAGTAGAGACACTACATACTGATATACACCTGATCATCAGCAGGAGAGGACTCTTTAAAGTAGAGACACTACATACTGATATACACCTGAACATCAGCAGGAGAGGACTCTTTAAAGTAGAGACACTACATACTGATATACACCTGAACATCAGCAGGAGAGAACTCTTTAAAGTAGAGACACTACATACTGATATACACCTGAACATCAGCAGGAGAGGACTCTTTAAAGTAGAGACACTACATACTGATATACACCTGAACATCAGCAGGAGAGGACTCTTTAAAGTAGAGACACTACATACTGATATACACCTGAACATCAGCAGGAGAGGACTCTTTAAAGTAGAGACACTATATACTGATATACACCTGAACATCAGCAGGAGAGGACTCTTTAAAGTAGAGACACTACATACTGATATACACCTGAACATCAGCAGGAGAGGACTCTTTAAAGTAGAGACACTACATACTGATATACACCTGAACATCAGCAGGAGAGGACTCTTTAAAGTAGAGACACTACATACTGATATACACCTGAACATCAGCAGGAGAGGACTCTTTAAAGTAGAGACACTACATACTGATATACACCTGAACATCAGCAGGAGAGGACTCTTTAAAGTAGAGACACTACATACTGATATACACCTGAACATCAGCAGGAGAGGACTCTTTAAAGTAGATACACTATATACTGATATACACCTGAACATCAGCAGGAGATGACTCTTTAAAGTAGAGACACTACATACTGATATACACCTGAACATCAGCAGGAGATGACTCTTTAAAGTAGAGACACTACATACTGATATACACCTGAACATCAGCAGGAGAGGACTCTTTAAAGTAGAGACACTACATACTGATATACACCTGAACATCAGCAGGAGAGGACTCTTTAAAGTAGAGACACTACATACTGATATACACCTGAACATCAGCAGGAGAGGACTCTTTAAAGTAGAGACACTACATACTGATATACACCTGAACATCAGCAGGAGAGGACTCTTTAAAGTAGAGATACTACATACTGATATACACCTGAACATCAGCAGGAGAGGACTCTTTAAAGTAGAGACACTACATACTGATATACACCTGAACATCAGCAGGAGAGAACTCTTTAAAGTAGAGACACTACATACTGATATACACCTGAACATCAGCAGGAGAGGACTCTTTAAAGTAGAGACACTACATACTGATATACACCTGAACATCAGCAGGAGAGGACTCTTTAAAGTAGAGACACTACATACTGATATACACCTGAACATCAGCAGGAGAGGACTCTTTAAAGTAGAGACACTACATACTGATATACACCTGATCATCAGCAGGAGAGGACTCTTTAAAGTAGAGACACTACATACTGATATACACCTGAACATCAGCAGGAGAGGACTCTTTAAAGTAGAGACACTACATACTGATATACACCTGAACATCAGCAGGAGAGAACTCTTTAAAGTAGAGACACTACATACTGATATACACCTGAACATCAGCAGGAGAGGACTCTTTAAAGTAGAGACACTACATACTGATATACACCTGAACATCAGCAGGAGAGGACTCTTTAAAGTAGAGACACTACATACTGATATACACCTGAACATCAGCAGGAGAGGACTCTTTAAAGTAGAGACACTATATACTGATATACACCTGAACATCAGCAGGAGAGGACTCTTTAAAGTAGAGACACTACATACTGATATACACCTGAACATCAGCAGGAGAGGACTCTTTAAAGTAGAGACACTACATACTGATATACACCTGAACATCAGCAGGAGAGGACTCTTTAAAGTAGAGACACTACATACTGATATACACCTGAACATCAGCAGGAGAGGACTCTTTAAAGTAGAGACACTACATACTGATATACACCTGAACATCAGCAGGAGAGGACTCTTTAAAGTAGAGACACTACATACTGATATACACCTGAACATCAGCAGGAGAGGACTCTTTAAAGTAGAGACACTACATACTGATATACACCTGAACATCAGCAGGAGAGGACTCTTTAAAGTAGAGACACTATATACTGATATACACCTGACAATGAGCATTTTATGTCCTCTTTAAAGCACCTACATGTAGAATTGTTTAAATGTTTTGTATTTGTGTTTGGTGGCGTCTATTTGCTTTCTGCCCATTCACCATATCTCTGAGTGTCTTTTTTCAAGTTACCAGAGGAACCAATCTTTCTCAAAACAGGACTGTACATGTTGATAAGAGAACTGGGTGAGGTAAGATCTGTTGTTTCAGTGTGTGTGAATTGAGCCGTAGTTTCTCACCATGGCAGCGACATGTGGAGACAGGACGGCGATCCTCAGGCCTCCTTCTGACGGAGGAGTGGACTCTGGGAAAACTGGGAGCTGGAAAGGCAGGAAACGGTTTAAGAAGACGCTTTGCAGGGTCAAATAATTCAAAAGAAAAGCACATAAATAGAATTATGAGACCTCAAACTATTAACGACTCAAAAACAATCATTTGGGCCAATCATTAGGAACTTTACATATCTCTTATGTGTGCAAGGAGCTCTTTTTACCACTGCAAGTATTGTACATGTAGAATGGATCATGAACTTATACTGCAGTACTAACAATGATGCCTTTTCCAAAATAGATGAGATGACAAATGCAGAAGAAATGCATGAACTCTGCTTACTTAACATATTTGTTCTATATGCAATGTTGTTCAACTGTTTCCTCTAATATTTACAGTCCTGTGGTGAGACAGAAAAACCCTTTAAATGTTTCCACAATTGTTTAAAGTCTCAGGGGAGCATCTGGGTTTAGTTATATTGTTTTATTCAAGTTGGAGAGTTTTTGTCTCCCCCCTCTGGCACACAGAGTAAATACACAAACACTGCCCTCATGGCTTCTGCCTGCAGGGGAGTCTGCTTGTCCTCGCCCCTTTTTATTTAATACTTCTTCCTAACACTGAGTTTATTGTTTATCTGGAGCAAACACAACACAGACTTTTCTTTGGACGCTTCTTAGGATTTTCAACCATCGCCATACTCCTGCTGCCCTGTAGGAGTGGTCTTTCCCTTTCCAGTAAGGTAAGGCAAGTTTTACTGCTTTCCAGGAGACTGCGAAGAGACAGAGACTTGTCCCTCGCGGTGATAGTCTTATTGAGTGTTGTGTAAACTTGTTTGGCAAAGGCTTAAATATAATAGACACTTATTTATAAGTAAAAGTCCTGCCCTTGGCGACATATATGCAAAATGCATGAACGTGTGTCCCCTCTGAGCTTATTGACAATCAGTGTGTGAGAAAAGGAGAGAACCAAAGAGGATTTGTGCAGTAAAGCCAAAAACAATGACTAAATAATAAGAAAAAAAACATCCATAAAGCAGCAAAAAAAAAAGAAATATATATATTTAGGATATATAATAATATATTTTACATTCTATAAAACTAATGCTATTTTTTGTTGTTGTTGAAAATAATAAAAAACTTTAAAAATAATGCACTACAAGGATGTCTTAATGCAAAAAGCCACTAACATCTGACTTCACCAAAAAAAAAGGGGCATTTTTCCGTGGCTTCGTCACTATGAGCAATTCATTTCACACTACACATGTGACTCGTGGTTAATATGAAAATGGTGATCAATGGTGATTAACGCAATAATGAAGTATATGATATTATTAAGTACATCCAAAATGTTTTTGGAATAAATATAAAAGTTTGAATAAAACAGCTCACAGGTCAAATCTCAAATGTGACTCAAAGGTCGTTGCATATGGCTTTAAACAGGTTGTTTTGAAATCTTATAATATCTGAAAATATGAAATATTTGTAATGAGAGAATCACTTTCTCAAGGGAAATGTATTTAGGACGTTTTAAAAAAAAAAAGGGGGAAGCGATATACTTCTCGGCCTTCCTTGGCTTGAATGTATTTTTGTGTACTCCTTGTTGTATTATCTTTCTCTAAAAAGAGAAAACACTCCTTTTTTTGTATGTGCTATAGTTGTGTGTCTGGGAAAAACTATGATGATAATATCAAACCTATGTGACGGCATGTGAATAGAGAATAAAACTAACTTTCTTTGCAACCTATTTTCAGAAAAATGTAGGTCATGCGACGTAGACGTTATCAATTTAAAGGAGTCCTGATCAGAGGAAGCACTTTGGTAACGTACACAGGCAGAACACATCCGACCTTCGAGAGACGGAGACAGAGATAAAGAGAGAGGAGGGCGGATTACTTGAAAATACGTGAAATAAGACATGCAACTTCTTAGATGCCGTGTGTGAGGGAGGAAACACTAGATGGGACCGAAACCACTAACCAGAAAATGTTTCTTGGCTTAAAACAGATTGTAATACATTTGAGAGACTCATATTCTGCAGCACCTTACTTAAATGCGGACAAAGTAAACAACTCAGTTTCTGTAAATCACGTCATCATGAGAAAAGACTCTCATGGTTGTTGTTTTTTAAACGATCTTCCTCTGTTTCGTTGATTCGTCTACACGCACTGCGGTAGATAGTTCACCTTTTGAAAAACTCCTTCCATGGAGATTTAAAGACACTCCATGTTAAGTGTTGAGGAGTACACAGGGATAACTACGTTTAGATTGAGTATATGCCGTTATATTATTTTTTGAGGCATCACACATTGGTGGATTTGGCTGGATCTGAACTTGCTTTCTTACAGTTTTTATTTTTACACGGTATATGCATGGTACAGATGACAACAGAGCCTTTGTATCTTATACATGGGTACACATTACAACACAGAGTTCACTGTGTGTGTTTGTCCATTACAGTTCTTCAAGTGTGTTTTTGCATTTTTATTATGAGTGGACAGGATTTTTCTTGATAAAATAACTGTGTTCTGTTTTGCAGGAAATCACAGAGACAGCCACTTAGTCACAGTGTGTTGGACGTAGATGTTTAAAATGCAGACAAGATAAGTATACGCAGACGTCTGAGAACAGATACTGTAATACACAGCTCTGTATGTTCATAATCAAAGATACCTCAGTGAGTCACCATGGTGCTTTTTAAATGCATCAGACATAGATAATGTCTTTCACAACAGTTGCGCAATCACAAGGTTTGCTCAAGGTAGAGTGTAATATTGTGAGTATTATGTAAAGGATTTTCCTTCCTACAAATCACTACAATGCTCAGAGAGTGAGGATAACATTGAAGTGTTTAAACTTGTTACCCAAATCCTGCAATATTAGACTGCGTGACGATGTATGATTCAATTCATTCTGCTTTAAACTGGAATTTGCGCCATTATAACTTCCGATTTTCGAAATTTGGTCCGACCACAAAGGAAAACAGTAAATCAGAGCAATGCACGCGTGTGTAACTTTTATGTTCCTGTTAAAAAAAACGTATTATGTGCTTCAAGTGGGAGAAAATAAGTTTGACCAATGGTTGGTTTTTATCTACAAGGCTGATCGACATTGTTTACGTATTTAACAATGTGGCTAATGTATGAAAAACACGCCTAGACTACTGCAACTCCCTCCTGGCTGGTCTACCTGCATGTGCCATCCGACCTCTGCAGCTCATCCAGAATGCCTCAGCTCGTCTGGTCTTCAACCTTCCTAAATGTTCCCACACCACCCCGCTCCTCCGCTCCCTTCACTGGCTTCCAGTATCTGCTAGAATCCACTTCAAGACACTGGTGCTAGCGTACCATGCTGCTACATCCAGGACATGGTTAAACCATACACCCCAGCACGTGCACTCCGCTCTGCATCGGCCAAACGGCTTGCTGCACCCGCACTGCGAGGGGGACCCAAGTTCCCATCAGAAAAAACACGTGGGTTTGCTATCCTGGCTCCAAAATGGTGGAATGAGCTCCCCATTGACATCAGGACAGCAGAAAGCTTACACATCTTCCGGCACAGACTGAAAACTCATCTCTTTCGACTCCACTTCGAGCAATACAATTACTAACAAAGCACTTATATACTAACAAAGGACTGGCTTATCTAAAGCTAGTTGAGTAGCACTTGAAATGTTCTGGCTCTATGAAACCTGATGTACTTATATGATTCTGTTTTCTCCAAGTTTGTATCTTCTTGGTCGAATGCACTTATTGTAAGTCGCTTTGGATAAAAGCGTCAGCTAAATGTAATGTAATTTAATATCAAGCACAAACACATGTTTATTTATAAATCTAAGAAATCAAGTTAAGTCCACAAAAAAGTATCAGAAAGCTGAGCATGTTTGAGAACGCAAAGCTTAACAAGGCTATCTTACAGGATCGAGGAAGCAAAACATAGTTATATCCTATAATATACCAATGTTAACTAGAGATATGTATGAGATATAGTGAAGCAAATCGCAGGTCTAAGGCCTAGTTTGTGATGCTGTGTTGCCAGGTAGATGTTTTGGAGCCAGCAAACATCAAAATTAATTAGATTAAAAATAATAAGGCTTCAAGCTTTAGTTCACCTATTACACTACTCAACAAAATAAAGTAATTCTAGTTTGAATCACTATATTTGAAATATTTCTCTAACTGATTCCATGCCTAAGTGTTAATGTTTGATCTCACAAGGCTTGTGCAATAGTTAACATGTCTCTTTTTACTGCGTATTTGGTGTACCACTGTCTAGTTGGCACTATTGCCCTACAGTAAGCCACATTGCTTTGGTTACTTATCTATAATATGCATCTGTTTCAGTACTTCCTTTTTCTGCTGGGATACTTTAATCCCCAAGCATATTATACACATATAACTCAATCTTGTGTTTTCTAATGGCACATTTGGGAGTATTTGTTTCTACCTATAAAGGTGTTTCAGGATGATAGGTGCATACTTAGCAATTTGGCAATGACTATTAAACATACGTTGTTGTGGTCGGCAGTGCAACAGACTGCATTTCTAAATGCCCTCGCCGTTAAGACATGTGTTGTGTAGCAGAAGTTATGTGGCATTGCTCTTTGGTGCAATATTACATCAGGTACGTGACAGTGCGTGACAAAGTGGTGAAATATTGTCACGCTAACAGACTTCACTTGCAGGAAAGTGAAGTCTGGTAGTCAGTTTATGTTATGTTAAAGTTGTAAATCATTAGTGATCAACTTGTTAAGAGAGAGAACGGCAGCAGAGCTTTGTAGTTGTATACGGTAGATGTTTAAAAGTTCTTTAGACCTTTTATGATTATTTGATCTATTATTTTTCTTATTTGTATATATTCATAATTCATTTTATCTTGCTTTAGTTGGCCTTATGTTTATTCTTATATTGGTATATCCTTTGTCTGCCAAAGCACTCGGTAGAATCTCTTTTTAAAGTTACTTTTTCCCCGTTGAAGGGTTACTTTATCTGAGGCAGGGGTCAAAAAGAAAGTGTAATGTGCTGTACAGATTGTTAGGCCTTTGGGATTTGTTATATTGGGGTGTATGAATTCAATTGACTTGACGAAGGTGTAAAAGGATATTTACATCAATTTAGAGCAGCGGTTTTTAAAGTGTGAGGCGCGCCTCCCCGGGGGGGTGCCAGAGAGCTTCAGGGGAGGCGCAGTGTGAGAAAAAAATAACGAGAAACAGTAAAATCTAGCTAGTTAACTTCAGCTAACTTTATGTGAGCGGCAACATGGATCGATTTTTAGTGAAGTTACCTAAAGTGAGAGAGGAGACAGCGTCTGGCAGAAAACGGAGGAAGTATGACCACGATTATTTGAAGCTAGGATTCTCATGGACCAGTCCTGGCAGGGTCGGACTGGCCATCTGTGTGTTCTGGAGAATCACCGAACGGCCGGTCGTCAGCAGGCCGTCCGGGAGTATTATTAAAATTAAAATAAAGGGCGGTGCCGGCCGCCAGCGAATCGAGCCGGCCGGCACCGCCCTTTATTTTAATTTTAATAATACTTACTTTGATCAAAAGCAAGTACCAGTCAAGGCTGCAGCCAGAGGATGATCTGCGTTTATTCCTGTCTACATTGCATCCCTGCATCATCCGCCTGTGCGCATCAAAGACGCAGACTCATTGTTCCCACTAAAGTAGGGGTGAGTCATAAGTAGGCAAAGTTGACGTTCAGTGTGTTGCCGGGAGCATATAAGGATGTATCCACGATGTTGAAAATGTTTAAAAAATATGTTTAAAACAAAAAGATAAAAAGGTTTTAAAAAGTTATTGTTTAATATTTTAAGGAGGTGAGGCTACTCAGCCAATCAAATCGGTGCAGTCAGTGAGTCAGCACGGTAAAGATTCAAACACACAGAGACGAGAAGAGAGAAACAGTCGGAGTCATTTCAAATGGCGTGCTCAAAAAAGAGAAAGGTAGACAGAGAAAACAGCATTTAATGATAAGTTCTCTTACTGGACCTCTTTGAAATGCAATTGAATACCCCTGCATTATAGCAACAACAACAATAATAATAATAATAATAATAATAATAATAATAATAATAATAATAATAATAATAGCAATAATAATTGGGAGGGGGTGCGCGGCTGTTCTTATGTTCTCTGAGGGGAGGCTCACCTTCCCACACTTTGAAAACCCCTGATCTAGAGAAAGCTATAACTCCTATAGGTTTCAGACATCCCTTGAGTAGTGTTTGTATAGGTACTTGTAGTTCTTTGCTATACCCAAATCTACCATGTTAAGAAGAGATGTGATTGATCAGAACATCATTCTACCATTTTTCATTTTTGTGATGAATTCTTCCACTGAATTGGTGGGTATGGAAATCAGTGATATGTGATATACAGTATGAGTGACATGTTTGTAAATCTCTTTGTGATTCATTTGATTGGATACCTAAGAAGGTTGAAACATCCCTGTGTAGTTCTTACATTGTACCACCATTGAGAAAATGTGAACTTGATCATGACTTCATTCTATCATTGGCAATTTTGTTGATAAATACTTCCATTGAACTGGTGGGTGTTGAAAGAGCAATGCTATTCCCCAGAGCAGTAGGTACACATTTTAAATGAGAAATAACTGTAGGACTAATAAAGGTATTCTGATTCTGATTCTGATTCTGAACAGGTTTAAACGACACTGGCTGAAAGCCCAGAGAAGCACTTGTAATACTTCCATACTGTGCCAGAAATAGTTGAGAAGCTCAGTGCCGTTTGTATTGCGACATTTTTGTTGGCATATAACTTCAACTTTCATCAGAATGAACTGAATTTGTATTCACTAAAAAGCTGGAAATGAATGATGCACGAATGAGTCCTAGATCCTTGAATTTAGTTGCTGTTTTTGATTCCATTGTATTGAGGTCGATGGGTTTTTTGAATGGGTTTTTGGTTAGATTATTAAAATATGTTCAGTGGGCACACAAGTTTAAGAGATTCTGCCGTATATCTGACCCAAGAAAACGTTTTGGTATTACACACTTCTATTTGCAATTCTCCGCAACAATCCAAAGGGAAAATCTCATGGGCTCTTTTTGGAAAATATTAACTTCTAGGTCGGCCTACAAAAACACATCTTCCTTGCAAACTTTTATACACAAGCATGAATATAGTCTCATAATCCTGCTGCTTCCTGTTGTCCTCAACCTTAACCCTGCGAAACATAATTCAAATGTAAATGAATGTAGTGCGGTACCATCATATTACATTCCCTGCCATATTTTTGTTGTTAAGGCTGTCTGTTCTTCTATATAACATGACTGATTGTGTCCGGAGAGAACCTGTTTTGTCATTTTCCTTGATGCACAATTGTTCTCATATCGTCACTGTCTCCAAGAATACAACTAGACATGTGCAGGCATGATGGTTTCATATGGACAGACACCTGAGGAATTTCACAATTATTTCACCCCATGCTGCTGGAAAACACCTTTAACTGCCAGTTTCCAGTTACAACTTCATGTGTAAAACCGAAACTGCGGTGTATGCCCCCTTCTCTTATCACTTACAGTAGATCAGATTAATCAAAATGTCATGCTGGTTACAACATGCATTTTTTTATGTTGTAGTCTGTGTCATTAAAGCCTCACTCTTTAAACCACACCTCCAGCTGACAACAAATATTTCCTCTCTGAACACAGAGCATAAAAAGGGCTTGCAGGCTGACTGAGGAAGGGTGTTTTTTCTTCTCTATATTCAGTACTTGTTTCAGTTCATGCTGTGTGTACGGTGCATGTTTCCTCAGCATGTTTTTTGCACAGACAGAGTCTCCAGGATCACTTTGAGGATCTAACAAGCCGACTGTTGAATTTGACGGATCACAGTGAAGGGGAATCAGTGCCTGAGAAGAAGATTGCGGGTAAGAGGCAGCTACCACCAACTCCAAAACAAAAAGGATTTACCCTGCTTGGCAACATATTTAACCGTTACGCATCCAATTGCTTTGGCATAACGTTAAATAGGACTACTTTGACATCAACTTCTTCAATTGCTTCTCAATGACTTGTTCTGCACGAGTATCAAATATGTCTCTAAATGACACATTTGACCACTGCAAAGTACCCAATAATTCCACATATGAAGTCCTCTCCTGGGTGATGGTTGGAGAGTTCGTGCTGGGTCTGCCTCTCAACCTGTCGGTCCTCTACATCTTCATCTTCAGGTATGAAGTCACAAAATCTCTCTTTTAATGCCTATTTACTATTTTCTGAAATAACTCAAAAAGTAGGTCGATAACGCCTTCAGGGAGGGGGACATTTTAAACTTAGCCAAAAACCTTGAACTTGCTGCGTGATTTGTCAGCTGGCATTACCCCTACTTTCCCCAGTAATTTAGATGACAATATCCCCCCAAAACACCCCAATAAGGGCACTTAGGGATAGGATGGATTAATCCAGATAACTACTACTTTCTATAACCTGGAGGACTAACAGTTCTTTGAAAGAAAGCTGAAATTATGCCAACGTTAAAATTGGTCACGTAGTTGTGAAGAGCGTCCAGCCTGCTGTGACTCAAGTCAGTCAAGTTGTTTCTTGATTCAATTAATGAATAACTGTTGATTCATGACTCTTTGCAGGGAAATGTAATACATGCATGCTCAGTCAAGTGACTAGAAGAAAGAAAATAGGGGCCAGTAGTTAGATCCAGATTGGGTTCTTATTTGTTGGCAAAAAAACTTGTTGGCATTCCTGAAGTGGTTAATTTCAGTTGTCTAGGACAGCTTATTTTAGGTCAGTGAACCAATTGTACTTAACGTGCTAGATCACTAACCTGCATGTTTTCAATACACTATACAATTATAAAGATATTTTAATTATTAAGAATTCAAAAAGAAAACATTAAATGCAAAAACAACCACATGAATGTTAAATGGTTGTTAAAAAGGTTTTAGGCTGATTAGGGTAGTCAGACATCCATTGCCATTTTTGGAAGCTATTTTGAAATGCCTTGCAATTTCACTTCTTTAAAACATCACTTCAAAACCAGACTATATTTAACAATTGAATTGACGTGAAAAGCTTTTTTAACAAGATGAGCACTGTCTGCTAGTCTTGAGATAAACTGATAAACCTATAGAACATAGCGTGCTGTGGGTAAAGATAATCTCTTATAGCTGGAACTTCAGCATGCAGAGATGTTGGTGTTTTCTTTGGCACAATTGTACATTTCTACCACTAAATTATACAGTGTAACAAAAAAAAAAGCGGATGCAATAACAAAATTATCATAACCCTAGATTAAAATATGCATTAATAAGCTGATAAAGAACTCTTTTTGCACAGTGATTCCTGTTTGAGTCTTCATATTTTACATTAAGTAGAGTGCTTCAGTTGGATGAATTGTCAGACTATAGCCGTGCAGAGATTCTTTGCATTTGTATAACTTGAGATGCCGAATAAATAACAGCTTGTCAATGGCTTCCTCTTTCAGGTACAAGTTCTGGAAGAACAAAAGTATCTTCCTGTTCAATATTGTGGTTGCGGACTTCATGCTGATGGTCATTCTTCCTGCCAAGGTTTACCATTACCAACATGGCCAGAGACGCAGCCCAAACAACGCTGTGTGTAAGACGACGCACTTCTTGCTGTTTCTCAACCGAGGGGCCAGCATCGCCTTCCTCATCACGCTCTCCATCGACCGATACTTCAATGTGGTTCATCTCGGGAGGAGGAACTTTGTCAAAGTGCTGAAGAAAACGCCTCAAATCTCCATCCTCATCTGGGTTCTCTTGCTGCCCCTCACCATCCCCACTATGGTCAAAACGTTTGAGTGCTGCAACAGCCACGGCCGCATTCATGAGACGCCTTCTCACGATGTGACGGACACCTTTAGAGAGGTATTGTTTGGATTTCTTGTGTTTTGATTTGCTATATTGCGGGGAGGCTATGGCTCAGGAGGTAAATGTTGGTCCTCCAACTGGAAGGTCGGCGTTGACCCCAAATTGCTCTTAATGTGTGTGAATGTGTGTGAATGTGTGTGAATGTGTGTGAATGTGTGTGTATGTGTGTGAATGTGTGCAGCCTCGGCCTCTGTGTGAATGGCTGAATGCTGACTTGTATATTTAAAGCGCATTTAGGTGTTGCAAAGACTGCTATAAAGCAATATAAATACAGTCCATTTAGTTCGACATAGCTGTAAAATATATTAGTAGCTAAAAAATGGAAACAAAAAAGGCCATAATGATTACGATGTGAGCATGAACAAAAGCCCAATATATACTCTGACGTCAGAGAGTTAATCCTACCAAAGCTTTCAACAATAAATAAGAACTTCAGTTATTTACAGTTCCTCTCGCATTTAAACAAACTTCCTATGAAGCTGCCAGTCATTACAGGTTTTTGCCCAAAGGTTATTTTAACACCCTTGTTCTCTGACTTACAGCTTGGAATAGCATCTTAAATTCTGTCTAAATTATATTTTATGTGACAATCGAATAAAACAGAACACTTCCCTTGTTGTTCCTGTGTTTTGGACTGTGAATCAGACAAAACAAGACAAGTAAAAGCATGAAGAGTGTTTCAATATGAGTCACAAACCTCAAAATCCTGACTCCAAATTGCTCCAGAAGGCATGTCTACAGTATGGAAATATATGTTGTTTCAGATATAAGCTCATCGACATGTAATGTGACCCCGAGGCCTGTCTGTAGGTACATTAGTGTTATTTTTCTGTGTGGGGTTTCATACTCATAGTCACTTCTCTTTTCAGATCGTCTACTTCACGCAGATCCTCATCCCCTTCATCATCCTCGTCTACTGCACTGTGCGCATTGTGAACCGGCTGCAGAGGAAGACCGTGGGCGAGAAGACCAAACTGAGGCGAGCGGTGCTGGTGGTCATATCTGTCGTTGTCGTGTTCGCCCTCTGCTTCCTGCCGAGCACTATAGCCAGAGCGGTGCTGCTGGCCGTCAGGCTGATGGAGTGCCAGGTCGAAGAGGACGTTGTGGTTCAGGTGTACGACAGCCTCATGGTGCTGTCTTACAGCGACTGCCTGCTGGACCCGCTGGTTTACTGCTTTTGTAACTCAGGCTTCAAAGAGGCTTACATTTCCACCTTCTGTCCCCAGTTTCTACAGAGGAAACTGTTGAAAGCTGACTTTGGATTGGGAACAACAACCACAACAACCATAACTGTGACTTCTGGTAATAAAACTGTGTCCTTGCCGATAGTAGAGAAATGATCATGTATATCCCTTCGGGGTGTTTATTTACTGAGAGCCAAACCACTGTTCCACATAGGTGTTTTCAGCAGCCCTAGCAGATGACACTTTTTCTCAGAAAACATTGGATTTTGCGATACTGATAAATGCCATTTACTCTAAGGCTGAAACACATCAGGCACGAAAGTTGCCCGACAAAACGCCTCCTCCGCAGAGCTCATCATTTTATCTGATCAAACCACTATCGACAAAAATGCAGGGCATGCTTATTGTTTATCTGGAACTGGTGCTGTTCCTTGGTACTATGTGCTCACACACACACACACACACACACACACACACACACACACACACACACACACACACACACACACACACACACACACACACTTGTTCTTTGTGGGTTACTTTCTGCATGTATCTCTACAAACCGTTTAATTACATTTTTTTGGAACTAAAGAGACTATCTTTTTTAATATTTCAAAAAACAATAATATCTTTTTGCTATTTTTGTATGTGAAATTAACATTCATATATGCTCAATAATGTGTCATATTAAATGTACTACAAGAGAATAGTCAGCAGTAGTAGGCGACTGGGCAATATGGAGAAAATCCGATATTTTTGATCAAATACCACAGTGTCGATATTGGTGCGTTCATAAAATATTGACATAAAGAGTTTTATAATGAATAACCATCATTAATCAGTAATGTAGATATGATGACTTAGTGGGTGCATGCAAATCAAAGATATCAAATTCACTTTCCAGTAATGCAGCCTTTAAAACCAAGAAAAGACAACACCATATTACGATATTATGATGACGACATTTAGTCTCATAGAACAATATATTTACAATCCCCAGCCCTAGTCTGCATACAATGAATCAGAAATTGATCAAAATCTCAAATGTGGACTATCGCTAACCAAGTTGCAGGAGGTGCAATCTTTTTTCGGAGAAGAAACATGTTAAAAAAAACTTTTGAATAAGCCTTAACATTTTTAGAGTTTATTGTGGAAGTATCTGCAAACAGTTTGGGTGTCTTTATGTGGATTATCAGGGACGTGTACTCATATAGCTCATGTAATGTGGCTGCTTCCGTTAAAATGTAAAATCCAATTAGAAAAAATGGATTATAAGCATTTTTTATATTTATTTTTCTATAATATTATTGAGTTTATTGTATAAAGGCATTTTAATTTATTAGGATATATTTCAGGCCAGGATTTAAGGCATCAGTTGTGATTGCGTTCTACCACTTATGATGGCCTTTGTACCTATAATTACAAAGTATTCAGCAGTCAAGTAAAACATGCTCTGCAGGTACTTTTACAGTGTTTGCAAAACTCTCATGTATCACTCAGGAAACTCTATATCTCTGCATTCATCATCATTACCTCAAACCAGTTTCACCTGTCCTCATTGAGATTTACCATCAGTGAACATTACATTTCAATATTTCACAATTGCTCCTTCAAAGTGTTGTAATGCATTTCTTCAATTGACTCGTTTTGTTTCCTTTTTTATGAATCAGAGTAAGAACAAGCCTTTTTGTATTCTGTTTCCTGAAATGAGGTCATAATGTCAAACCTACGTGGACTGCAAAAACCTGGAAGGCTGTTTTAAACGCTTGTCATTAAGGCTGTATATAAACATGTGATGTTGATTATCAAAAAATAATTATTTGTATTAGATTGAGGTACTGACTGGGGATGTTTGTATACTGCTGCTGTAAATAAAGAGAATTCATGTCTTGGCAATGCAACGACATGCAGAGCTTTTACTGTGAAACCACATCCCTCTTTTTTTCTAATGGTGTAACGTTATCCCAAGCAAGTATTACAAAACCAACACGTCTATATCTCCTCTGTACACTCCATGTGTATATGCAATCTGTTGGAAACACAGGGTATATGCAGGAATCCTGAAGTCAAATGTAAGACCTTTTAAGACCTTTTTTAAGACCCTTTCCATACATTTGAAGACCTCATCGCCACTTTGAGTTTTAACCGGTTACATTGGCGACACACTTTACCTCACATTGACTATATACAGTATTGATTGTCCTTCCTCCTTATCTTCCAACCATTTGGACGCAGACTTGCATTTCCCCATAACGATGTTGTTTAACAACCGGCGTAAACGGACCTTCGCGCGCTATCAAGCAGTGAGCGTGCGATGTCCTGTTCAGATGACGTCAAATCCAACAGGATGCCATAAATAAACTACACAGAATCACACTACACACCTACGCAATGATTACATTCAGGCAGACTGTAGAATACAACCTCTTTGGACAATTCATATACTTATTGAAAACAAGCTACAAAATGTAATACCTTGGAAAATGCCGTTTAATACTTTTTAATAGCCTTCATTTTCGCTAAATTGATTTATCAACTTTTAATACTTTTTAAGACCCCGCGGACACCCTGTAACTCCATGAAGTTATCTACAAAAGGTAAAATACAGCTAATTAACACATTGTTGTCTATCCATTTCCTAACTTACCTCTGTCTTTCTTAAACCCTGTGTGTAGACACATTAGTGCCTCATTCATCTTTTAATAATGTGGGAACATTTCGAGATGTGTGGCCTTAGCTTGAGGCAGTCTGTGTGGGTGTTGCAACAGGAGAGATGATGGTGGCTTTCAAGTTGAGGGTAGCAGAGCAGAAATATCACGGCAGCAACAACAACAAGAGAAAAGAAGTATGACAACAAAGACAACAAACTCTAAACATCGAGAAACACTGAGGTGTTATTGCTGCCACAATCTTTGCAGATTGGCTACACGCCCTGTCTGCCTTTTTCGTTAATACTGTAATGGCTTAACGGATAGTTTGGATTGTTTGAAGTGGAGTCATCTGAGATCATTATTTACAGCACGCCCCCAGTTTGGAGAAGCAGAGAGGAGTTACTGCACATAAGCTACGCAATGTGCTCCTGTAGACGGGGGAATCATGCAAAACATATTTTAGCCACCTAAAAGAAAGGCCCATCTATTTAGAATATTTTCCTTTAGTTAGTTTATTTGTGTTAATGTTTGACTTTGGTGAAGCAGAACTATCCCTTTTAAAATATGGGTTTACTCAGAAAAGGCTCAGATGCAAACCTTAGGATTTTAAATATCAATAGTGGGGCATTCATACAAAAGTGAATCCGATTTTTTTTTTTTAATTAAGCCCTATCCGTGAGTTGGTTCTGTTCAACACTGACCTGTTTTCATTAGAGTCCCCTTTGTGGATCGGCTCAATTCAACACTGAAACTCCTCATATGGATGATCTGGAGCCTAGAAAGAGACAAACATTAACATCTTGACCAAAGAAACAGAACATGCCTCACAACTGAAAAACTAATCTGAAGTTCTACTGCTATCTAGTGGCCAGAAGCACAAATAAAAAAGGGGACATACCTGATTACGGAGCAGTATTGTGAACAATAAACCCTTGCACTATTGCATAACACTTAATCATTGAGTCCCATACAGGAAGCTGAGCCTTAATGTTGGTTTATTATCAGCTTGTATAACGTGTTATGCTGTATGTAGAGAGAGATGTGTTGGATCTTACTGTACATATTTTCTAAGTATAAAATAAAAGTAAACTGTGGCTTCAGACTGGTTGTTTTGTGTACTGAAATTGGTAGAACTCAGTTAACCTTACTTTCATTCCAACCTATTTTCAGTGAAACGTAGAAAGCTTATTGACGTTATGTATTTACATTTGTTCTGATAAAAGGTTGCATTTCACTATTCGTACCTTCGCAAAGCTTGTCCCAGGCAGCCGGCCAATCGACCGCAAGGATACGCAGGCTGGAAACATCAGACCTACGACAGAGATAAAGAGAGATGAGAAGCAGATTACAATGTGAAAGAACACATGCAATTTCTAAAAGTCTGTGTGAGTGTGAGGAAACTCTAGATGGGTCCAAAACCACTGACCAGAAAAAGTTGAAAAATGATACATTTGAGAGATTCATATTTTGCAGCGCCTCGCTCTAAGTGCGGATAAAGTAAACGACTGTAAACTACTGTCATAAATACTGCCCCTTCAGAAAAAAGTAGTTAAGAATAAGCAAGAACATATGATTGGATTACTAAGGCGTGGGTTACTTTGTGGGTTGTGTTTTGGCTCTAAATGCATGGTGATGATAGGTCACTTAAGTAAGGACCTTTTGGGGATAACATACGTTTTTGACTTTGTGCGTGTTTATCAGCGCTTCATTTGCATTTTCATCATGACTGGACAGGAAGATTACATCAGTTTTCAAAAAACGTACATTAAAAACATCTGGTGTGTAAAACAGAAAGTATAAAGGGCATGTCACCTTCTCTTATCTCTTTAATCGGATTGATCAAAATGCTATGCAACTTGTTACGAGACATGTTTAATTTCTTTAAACCACACCTCTAACTGACATCAAATATTTTCTGAGAGGTAGTCGCATTCAAAATAAAGGGCTTACAGTCTTAAAAGAGCTCCAGGATCGCTGTAAGGATCTAAGAAGCGGGCTGTTGAATTTGACGGATCACAGTGAAGGGCCTAAGGAGAAGATTCTGGGTCCAATGCAGATACTACCACCTCCAAAACAAAAAGGGTTTAACTTGCTTGGAAACACCTTCAACCCTTATCCTTTGAAACTGCAGAAAAAAGGACTACTTTGACACCAAGTTCTACTTCTAGGTCTAAGGGCTCTTTTCACACACCAAAACATGTATGTAAATTCAACGATTGACCGCTGCAAAGCTCCCAATCGATTCACATATGAAGTCCTCTCCTGGGTGATGGTTGTGGAGTACGTGCTGGGTCTGCCTCTCAACCTGTCGGTCCTCTACATCTTCATCTTCAGGTATGAAGTAACACAATCTCTCTTTTAATGACTATTTACTATTTTCAAAAGTGAGGGAAAACGTTCAACTTGTTTACGTGATTCTTCAGATTGGTGTTTCCCGTCTTTAGCCTCTCTGAGTGATTCAGACACTAATACGCCTCCAAAGAAAAGTCAACGAGGTCACTTGGGGATAGCATAGATAGACACATCCAAGTGACTTTGACCTACTATTAATTATGCCAAAGTTAAAATGTTTACATCGTTTTGAAAAGCTTCTCATCTACTGTGACCAATTCAAGTTGTTTCTTGGTTTATTAAATGATCCGCTGTGTTTCCTGTTTGGTTGCAGGAACAGATTCATACAACTAGCTTTGAGTCAATGAATCAATTCCATTAACACACTGAATCACCATCCAGAGTGCTCTAAATACACACTAAAAGGATTGATAGATAAGAAAGAACAACGAATACATCAAGGCAAGGCAATTTTATTTATATAGCCCTTTTCAGCACGTGGCGATTCAAAGTGCTGTACAAAATAAAAACAAAAGACATTTAAGAACAAATACAGCATAAATACATTATTAAATGGCATTTAAAAACAGGCATAAAAAGGCAAGCAAATAAAAAACTAAACATTAAACAAAGAAATACACAATCAAAACATCAATGTTAAAGGGATGTTATTAAGTATTAGGGTAGGCTGTACTTAAAACAGTGAAATTGCGACACATAAGAACCATACTTTATTCAAATTGACTTCTCACTAAGTGCAGTTTTAACCAGATGATCCGTGTCTGCTAATCTTGAGATAAACTGATTAAGTTGTAGAGCATAGCGTGCTGTGATTAGAGATAATCAGCAGGATGCACAATTGCATGTTGCCACCATTAAATGATACATCGCAAAAAGATTTAAAAAACGGCAATAACACAAAACTCATATTCCTGCATTAAAACATGCATCAATGTGCCGATAGAAGATTTCTGCACAATAGTTCTTATTCAAGTCTTCATGTTTTAAACACTAAGCAGAGTGCTTCAGTCAGAACTGTCAGACTAGAGTTGTGCATGGATTCTGTAAAATAAAGCCAGTAACCGCAAAATAATACTGTTTTGCCAATGGCTTCCTCTTTCAGGTACAAGTTCTGGAGGAACAAAAGTATCTTCCCGTTCAATATTGTGCTTGCGGACTTCTTGCTGATGGTCTGTCTTCCTGCCAAGGCTTACCATTACCGCCATGGCCAGAGACGCAGCCCAATTAAAGAAGTTTGTAAGACGATGCACTTCTTGCTGTGTCTCAACCGAGGGGCCAGCATCGCCTTCCTCATCACGCTCTCCATCGACCGATACTTCAATGTGGTTCATCTCGGGAGGAGGAACCTTGTCAAAGTGCTGAAGAAAACGCCTCAAATCTCCATCCTCATCTGGGTTCTCTTGCTGCCCCTCACCATCCCCACTATGGTCAACACCTTCGAGTGCTGCAACAGCTTGAGCAATGAAACTTTTCTAAACGATGTGACGGACCTCTTTAGAGAGGTATTGTCTTAGTTACTTTTCTTTGGATTTGCTTTAGTGCGCAGTGCCTGATGCTCAGGATACAGAAAACATGTCGACCCGACCTTGGGCAACATACTTCAGCCCTATTTGCTCCTGATGGTCAACAACAGTGTGTGAATGTTAGTTTCCTTGAGCAGGTAGCACCTTGTATGGCAGCCTCTGTGTGAATGTCTGTCAATGGGTTAATATTAGTTATGCAATGTACAAAAAGGCCTTAATAATTACGGCCATTTTATACTTCAATGTTAGAGAACCAATCTTACTAAAGCTTTCAACCCTGAAGAACTGTGTATCTGTATGAGCTGTCTAACTCAAAGTCACTTTTCTTTTTAGATTGTCTACTTCACGCAGATCCTCATCCCCTTCATCATCCTCGTCTACTGCACTGTGCGCATTGTGAACCGGCTGCGGAGGAAGACCGTGGGCGAGAAGACCAAACTGAGGCGAGCGGTGCTGGTGGTCATATCTGTCGTTGTCGTGTTCGCCCTCTGCTTCCTGCCGAGCACTATAGCCAGAGCGGTGCTGCTGGCCGTCAGGCTGATGAAGTGCCAGGACGAAGAGAACGTTGTGGTTCAGGTGTACGACAGCCTCATGGTGCTGTCTTACATCGACTGCCTTCTGGACCCGCTGGTTTACTGTTTCTGTATCTCGGGTTTTAAAGATGCTTACATTTCCACCTTCTGTCCAACGTTTCTTAAGAAGAAACTATTGAAAGCTGAACTGGCTTTGGAACAACAACCACAATAGTAATTACGAATTCTAACTAAGAAATTCCTGAGGACACTGAAAAACACCAGTCAGGTTGTCTAAACAGCCAAATATTAACAAAGCATGGATAGACGACTTCTCTGTGCAGTGTTAATTCTGCTCTGACTCATCAATTAAGTTGAATGGTTTCATCTGAAGATTTTTTGTTTTACTGACGCTGATTAAAATATACTTGTCTGCTTCTTTTGAAACTCATTTTCTTCCGTGTTTTGATTGAGAAATTGACACCAAAACCCATGTTTTCTTTCCCAAACTCACTTCAATTCTAAGTCTACTGTAAATATAAAGAAAATAAGAACATATCTTAAAAAATATTCAAGAGCGGTGCAAAGTACATCATCATCCATAGCTGTTTTTAAGTGTTCAGTAATGGACTTTTTCCTTAATTCATTGAGATCTGGTGTAAAACTGAAAACAAATACATACTTGTTGCATGATCGGATTTATGGTCTGCAGTTTTGCTCTCCTCATTTGTATATCTGCAGACATCGTTGGACAACACTCACTCAGTTTTCAGAAGACTGATTTATTCCAAGATTGAATTCATCTGAATGTCACCATCTGCAAATATTACAAGTTGTTAAAAACATTAAAATGCCATGATACTGTGTTTTCATTTTCAGAATTAATCTAATACATGGGACAAACCAAATGAATCTAGAATGGTTTTCCACTTTTTAATATATATATTGTTTTTAAACCAAACTAATATTCCTGCCAGAAATATCAGTTACATATCTGAGTGGAAGTGAGGTGCAGCTAGCTTTGTCAAGGTGTAACATTAGCATAATGCAAAAGAACAAATAGGCAGCGACAAAACGGGTTAAAAAGTTTTTGTTTTTTTATAAAACCACAAAATATTGTTAGATTTAAATCTAGGAATAAAACAGGCATTATTGTGACATCAAGAAATGTCTTTAACGCTGTGGTAAACTACAGTGACTTAGCTAACAAAAGATAGCTAGCTTAAGTCATATGTGAGTGACCTGCCGGTTTTTTTTATTGGCTTTTGGGGAAAGTATTTGTTTTAATTATCAATTAACAGTAAAATTGCAAAACTATGACTGTTTTAAATTATTCAAACGGAGTATTTCAAAACTCCTGTCAGTTGAAAACCAAACTACATTCAAACTGCTATAAATTAATGTAAACTAGCTTAAAATTAGTAACCCTTAATCTTTAAAATGTCACATTTACGTAAATAAATAACAAACATAGTATTTTTTACTTCAGGTAAAGAAAAATGAATGAAATTTGATGAAAAGCAGCATATATTATTTAAGGTTCGCGTAAAAAAATAGTTACCTTGAGGGTCCCAGCTGAGTTACCGTTGTGACCGTTGAGTGAAGTTGACCGTTAGTACAGTTTATCCGTTACAACCATAGACTGTATATATAAAGGTTACAACCTATTTTATTGCGATTAAAAAACACTCCATGAAAATATAGTTTGAATTCAACCTAGTCTTAATCCCTTAAAGTGAAATGAGGAGAGGAGGACACAAACATTTATTCAACTCACTTCCGGTACGACCCTTCAAGATAAAATGATTATTAACGTGTTTTGAAAAACTGGGATTATTATTATGTATTTATTTTTACAAATTTTTATAAATGTTTCCGTTTTTTTCATTTATGTATGTATATGCTTATTAATGTATTAATTTATTTTATTTGTTGATTTATTGACTCTTCTCTTCCTCCTTTTTTGCAGTTTAGAATGTTTGCCAACGTCACAGAAATTCAAACGTCTGCTTTTTTTGTTACAGCTTTTGTAACGCCGCACCCCCAACTCTGACTGACTTCCCGCGTCCCTGCCCCCAAAAGAAAATAGGCTTGTTTGAGATGAGCGAGACCGACGCAGACCGTCGCGGGACAAAGACGCCGGTAGCCGAGCGAGGAGGAGCAGTTTCTCTCCACGAGCTGCAGAAGCGAAATGCTTGATGGGAAACGACTTGCTGGTATATCGAGCTGAGCGCTCATTGGTGGTTTTTACCCCGTGCTGGTGATGAAACTCTCCAATTGGCTCTGCAAAAGTTTGTTGTTGTTTTGTGTCAGTTTTGGTTTTACGTCGCCACTTCCATTCGAGGCACATTTTTCATCATTGTTCCACAATGTTTATCATCATGAAATGAACATCTATAATATATGTTATACCATACTTGCACTGTTTACCGTTTTCATACTTTATATAGGCCTATTTTAGCATATTCATACAGACTGTTAATACGAATACTGCTCATAGGCTACTGTGTATAGTGTATTCATACTCATACCCCTCACTGTTTATTCATCATTCAATTCATTCTATATTTTATTCTGTAGATTGTGTACATTACTTTTCACTTACTGCTTTTTGCACTCCTGGTTAGAAGCTAACTGCATTTCGTTGTCTCAGTACCTGTAATCTGTGCAATAACAATAAAGTTGAATCTAATCTTGAGCAGGAACAAATGTATGTACTTAGTACATATCTGACATTAACGATTAAACACATTTGTGCATTCTTTATCAGGGTGTCCGCGGGGTCTTAAAAAGTATTAAAAGTTGATAAATCAATTTAGCGAAAATGAAGGCTATTAAAAAGTATTAAAAGGTATTAAACGGCATTTTCCAAGGTATTACATTTTGTAGCTTGTTTTCAATAAGTACACCGACTCCAGAGTACTTGAGTCAATGTACTTTCTTACGATCCAGCTCTGGGACTAGTACAGTATGTCCTAGGACCTAGTCTATCTATTTAAAATTATAGTTTAAATACAATCAAATTAAAACAAGATGGAATGAACCTTTATTGAGAAGAGCCAGGATTCTGCTTTGTTTCTGAATTCAACATTCCTACCAATTGACACCCAGTTCAATCTAGACCAAGGTCTTATTCCATGTATGAAGATTTTTTAACAAACAGACAACAGAGTCCTAGGAAATAGCAGTTTATTAGAAACATTGTACACACACATGCTCGCCACAGGGTGTCATCCTTTCCCTCTGCCTGTTCATTCAGATGACTCGCATCTATGCCCAAGGTCTGAGAAGGGACACGGACCTGCCCTCCATGTTTCGAGCGCTCTGGCAATGCGCTGCTGGAGTTTAGCACCTATAATTACCATTGTAAATTCATTTGGTTGAACTAAAAACAAATCCAAGCCTTTGTAATACATCCCGGTTGTTTTCCACTTTTAGTTTGGTTTGGCCCTTAAACAAATTCCAGGTAGCGTTTATAGACCAAACCCTAGAATAGATTATGTTGTGTAGGCCTATATATAAAAATAGTTTCTTATATTAGAACCTCTTTTATTTTGTTATAGACTTTGAACTTGCACGTGGACAAGTTCCTAGACTAGCTCCTTCAAGCAGAGGATGTGTGACATCATTCTTCCTCTGCTTCACGTTTCTAGCTTTCATTTTTTTTAAACAGGCAGAGAATCTGTGTTGTGTTTGTTTATTGGTTCTGTCAAAGTGAAACATTCCTCTTGGATGCATTAGGGAGGTCAGACGGACCCGGTGGAATCTAGGGGTACGCCACCACTGCTTGGGAGAAAGAAACTATGCGATATTTGGGCCCATTTTCGCTACAATGAGGGGGAGAAAAAAAGCGAATGCATTGTTTTATTGATTGATTGATTGATTGAAAAGTTTATTAACAGCTTGTATATTGGGTACAGTACAGTACAGCTCAAAACATACAATTGTTAAGGGGATGCAGACCAGAGAAAGACTTTCGTCTTGTTTACATCAGGGTCCCCCATTTCCAATTCATCATATCATTTAAGACATATAAGACATATTTGACATACAGATGGCTTATTTACAATTTACATACAGGTGGTTTTTTACATACAGATGGCTTATTTACAATTTTCATTTTAGATTTCGTTCTAATACATCCTAACCGGACATTTAAGACATACCAAGTCTACAGATATACAGTTAGTAACAGAGTCTAAAATGCGAGTATATACATAGATGGGGGGGGGGAAGCTGTCCATTGTACGACAGGTTGAGATTTGTACCATTACCGGGGCCAGTTTTGCAATGCTTTCCCCCGAAGGTGCTCTTTAAGAGAGGTTTTGAAGGTAAGTATAGTTTTACTTTCCTTTACAGTTGTGGGAAGAGCGTTCCACCTTGATGTGGCATAATTGCGAAACGTGTATTCCCCTTTTTTGTGCCAAATCTGGGTTTTACATGATTTGTGGAGCTCCCTCTGGTGTTATGATCATGGTATTCCTTGACCTTTGGGAAGAATTTTGACATGTACATGGGTACCATAGAGGTGTAGTGGATCTTGTAGACCAGGCCCATTGCAAGTAGCTGTACTCTGTCGTCTACTCTAAGCCATCCTAGGTTGTCAAAGTGGGCAGAGGTGAGGTGGGTTCTAGATGAAAGGTCAAGCAGTAGTCTGACCAGTTTATTTTGCGATGTTTGAAGTTTTATTTTTAGCGCCTTGGAGGTGCTATGGTACCATGACGTGCAAGCATAGTCATAGTACCCTTGAATGAGTGCTCCTGCCAGAGTTTTCAGGGTGTTTTTGTTTACCAGAGAGGAGATCCGGTATAGGAATCTAGTTCTTTGATTGACTTTTTTTATTACATTGGATGCCATTTTGTCACAGGAGAGGTTTGCCTCAAGAATAGATCCTAGGTATGTAATTTCCTTCTTACTTGTGACAATAATGTCACCCACTGCAACTGAGAAGTCGTCGGATTTGCTGAGATTATGTTTCGAACCGAAGAGAATGGACTCTGTTTTACCCAGGTGTAATGATAATTTATTATCGGCGAGCCAGGTGCAGATTCTGCCGAGCTCGGAGCTGAGGGTTTTTTCAACCTGCAATCTGCTCCTGTCAGAGACCAGCAGGGCTGAGTCGTCCGCGAACAGGAACAAGTTGCAGTCACATGCTGATGACATGTCATTTGCATAAATTAGGAACAGTAACGGACCTAATATGCTTCCTTGTGGAACACCACAGCTCACTGGGAGGGGGGGATCAGGGGGGGATCAGATTATCAGAAGGGAAGCAATGTAGCCTTAACACAGCAGGTAAAAACACCACAAACCTGACCAGATACTCTCTGCAAAGCTGCTTTCTTAATCATTCAACCTGTGTTTTTCATCAAATAAGGACAAGATATAATCTTATTGTGAAATAAGTTTTGACTAAAATGACAAATTATTGGTTTTGGCTAGACTAGTTTGACTGAAATGTTCTATATAATCTGATGACTAAAAAAGACTCAACAGTTTTCATTGACAAAAAGTAGACTAAAATAATTAGTTTTCTTTGACTAAAATAAGACTAAAATGCTCAGACTTTTAGTCGACTAAAACTTGACTAAATAAAAACAGGATGAAGGTGACTAAATATGACTAAAACTAAAAAGGAAATTTAACACAGGACTAAGACTAAAACTAAATCAAAAAATAGCTGACGAAATTAACACTAGTTGCTTAACAGGTTTTAGTTTTCAAAGAAACCATTAGCAAACATAATGTATATTTCATCGTTTTTGTATTTAACAAATAAGACACAGCCTAAAAACAGTGCTCAGCTAATTTGTATTTTAAATAGCGCTTGTCTGCTACTAAAGTGTAAAGCATAGTTGAAACCTGCCTGCAAATAAGAAAGTTCAAAATATAACACATTTAAGTCTGTTTGACAATGAAAGTCTAAAACCAATATAGAAAAATGTATGTTACATTTTCAGAGTATGTGTGTTGCTGCCTTGTGTATTACCCGACCAACAGAAGAAAAACGGTTTTCTTTCTTATTTGCAGCCAATCAAATGTATGAAGATGTACAGATTATTTTTTACTAATGCCATATCTTCTGCTTGGATTTCAAACCATTGCTGTTTAGAACACTATGGCTCTTGCAGGTTTGCCAGAAAATCTATTATTTCTCTGTCCCTGCTTCTCTTCAGAACTTTGATGCTTTTCTTACGAAATAAGGATTGGTGCGGTATCTCTGCCGCCTTCATCTGATATTGTTTTGACATGTTGCCATCCTTTTTACGGAAATATAAATGATGTGCATACTTGTAGTAAAGCATTTGTTTGTCTGCAGGTTCCAAAACACCTTTTTCACCTAACTCTAACAGTTCCTGATATATCTGATCAGCTTCAGCCTGATCATCACGTGACAGTGCATATACTTCTGCAATTTCTATTTTCCTCAAAAGTGAGGAATGAGGGTAAAGAGCAATCACCTCCTCAAGGAGAAGGATTGCTCTGTCTAGCAAGCTTTTCTTTGGACTTTCCTTGGAAAAAATGATCTTCCATTTGTAGCAGAGTGCAACACATCTCTTCAGATAACGTTCAGTTGGATGGTTCTTCAGAGCATCCTCTGCCAAATGAATGGCCTCATCATCAGATATATACTTTCTGTAAACCCATAGCAATGGTTTTAAACCACTGTAGCTGCTGACAGGACTTCTCAAAACCTTTGTGGCTAACTCACGTGCTTCATCTTGAATACTTTCTCCTCTCATAGCACGTTGATCAAGGTTGTGAGCAGCAAGGTACAAGTTCTCTGGATCCTGTTCTTGGGCAATTCTCATTTTCTCCAAGATGTTTTCTTCCAGCAGCCCTGTCCTGCTGTGCTCAGAAGCATGCATTAAAGCTAAGGCATGGCTAGTGTTCCACTCTCGTATGCCTGGCTGCATCTCGATGGCTCTCTGGAAGTAATCTACAACAAGTGTTTTGTCTCCACTGACCGTCATCAGCGCATAGGCTTTTTCAGCGTAGGTCTCTGGGTGGAGCTCCTCCTGGGATGGAGATGGGTATTTTTTATTCAGGGCGTCGACCTTTGACAGGTAGGCCTCGCTCTCTTTTTGGTCTCCCAGGTGGTGGTGCAGCCAAGCCAGGTCCCCGTAGTTCACCACTAACCAGGGGCCCTCATCTGTGTTTTTGATCTGGCTGAAGGCCTTTGTAGCCTTGTTGAAGGACTCCTGGGCTTCTTTATTGGATCCCAGCTTGTACTGAATGAACCCTCGCAGGTTGTAGATGTGACGCAGCCAGGGGTTTCCATCATTGGTGCCAATGTTTAACAAGTTGTCCCTACAACGTAAAAGTAAGGACCTGCTGAGGTCAAGATCCCAGGTGAAGTGGCACTGCAGGGCCTCCAGTCTGGACACCAGTGTTTGACTCTGAGTAGCACTAATACAAAATAACAAAGTAAAACATATTTAAAAAACTTATTTACTTTTATGATGAAATCCAGAATCAGCTACTCACCTCATCATTCAGCTGTTTCCTCAGCTTTGTAGTTCTGTAAATGTTTGGATGGTTTTTGCTCTTGATGCTCTGGTATAAAGTTAGTAATGTGTAGTGTCTGTTTTGCTGTGAAAGATGGGATGTTATTGAGAACGCAGCTTTAAATGCTCACACATAAAACAAATGTCAGAGGGGTGGGGGTAAACATGCCTTATCTTTCGTTTCCACATTTGAAAAACTAAATTAAAGAGTCATTAAACTGCGTCACATTTTCTGTTCAAGTGGGCAAAGTGTTTCTTCTTTTCTCTTTAAAGCTATAAGGGTCATTCCAGAATTGGAGGACATTTAGACGTCAAAACTTTTGAAAAATGAACGCTCTATTTCCTAATTTTCTGTTATGTATTTGAGAACAACAGGTAGTAAACACACATTGATTTGGCCAGCTCAGGCATCAATGGTACATATTAAATTACATGTTTTATTTGTTGATTTTCAACGGCCCTAAATGGTGGACTAGAACTTTGAAATACATTTTAATAATGTATTTTTACCTCTTAATCTAACTATAATTTAAATGTGTTCATTTTGAGTTCATTGTTGAGAAAAATGGTTAAATGTTTCAACCTTAACATACTTAGGCTCCCTGGGGCCAATAACAAAAAAGAAAATACAATAATACATTTTAAACATGTAGACTATGCTAACTTATACATACACATTTAATTTAGTTAAAGATGTTATATTTACTCTAGTAACAAGGTTGCAAATCAATGCCAATGTTAGCTTTTAGCTCAGAAATCAATCAATCAATGTCAATCAATGTTTATTTATATAGCCCAATATCACAAATGTTACATTTGTCTCAGTGGACTACACAGTTTGTACAGAATATCAGTATGACAATACGATACCCTCTGTCCTTAGACCCTCACATCGTACAAGGAAACACTTCCAGAGAAACCCAGAGTTTAAAGGGGAACATGGGAGAAACCTCAGGGAGAGCAACAGAGGAGGGATCCCTCTCCCAGGACGGACAGACGTGCAATAGATGCCGTGTGTAAATCGAAGAGATAATACATTTACAACATAGGTAGTCCAAATGTTTGAAAATGCATGTGTCTATAATAAAAAGATGAATCCACGAGGATGTCAACAATCCTGTGGGAGCCATCAGGGAAGTAGTATGATGAGAGTCAGGCAGGACCACAGAGACAGGTTCAGCCACGACTCGAAGTCCAGGACTCAGATCCAGAACTCAGGATAGAGGATCCAGGACTCAGATCAGGACTCAGGATCAGCCACGACTCAGGATCCCAGCGTAGATAGACACCAAAAAGAAATTTTGGGGAAGCTGGGTTATTCGGAACGTGAGAGTACACAGGTACAGACAGAGAGAAGGAAAAAGTAATGAATGCCAGCAGCACAATGTAATGCTCCTTTCAAGGCAAGGAATAACTTAGATATTCAACTAAAGAAAGATAACTTTAACCCTCTGAGACCCACATAGGACATTTCCGTTTTTGTATATTTCTGTGTTTTGCCTTATAAATTGTCATTTATTTACAGTATAATCCAGTTTTACACATCCCAAACATCAGCACAACCTCAGCTAATGATATATGTCACTCATTAGAGACTTGTATACAATATAATATGGGATATTTGCCCATAATTTTTTAAATTTTTTTAAACAGATTTTTTACTTATTTACTTATTAAAAATAACTGCTAACCATAACATTGAAAAAAACATTCAACACAGAAATGTGCACACATTTATTATCATTGTATCAGAACTGATTAGAAGATTCTAACTTCTTCTTTTCATTAGTTATGCCCAGTCTTTTGGGCAGTGTCCATGGGCGTTTTTTTTACCAGGAATTGTCTTTTTTCTTGTCAAGACTACACCTTTCCACAATCACACACGGCATGCTGAGCAGATTCAAGTGGAATCCGTCTGATCTGCCTGTAGGGAGGGACGGCCCTGATCCTCTGTCAAAGTCCCCTCCAAAGTACATAATGCATGTTTTCTGCTATTTTTGATGAGTGATAAAGACAATTTTACCTTTAGTTCTTAATGATATTGATACTGCTGGACTCAGTAGTCTTACACCTACTACCACAATACAATGAAGTACTTCCATTGTGTTGTTTTAAAAAAAAAAATCCTCTGTCAATGTCCCCTCCTGAGAACAAAGTTCGATGAAGGAAAAAAATGAATTTTGCCATTAGTTCTTCGTGAGATTGATCCTGTTGGACTCAGTATAGTGAAACTACTCCCACATGTACTATGAAGTACTTTTACTGTGTACTTTTTGAGTAATCCTCTGTCAATGTCCCCTCCTGAGTACAAGAATGCATGTTTCTCTGCTATTATTAATAAGCATTAAAACACCTTTCTTCATGAGACATGTTGTTGGACAGAGTATTTTAAGAGGATGGTAGACATGATAATCAGCACTACTTCCATTCAGTACTCCAGCAGCAGCATTTTACACCTTGGAAAGTCTTTAGAGACTGGCCTGCATAGCTGGTCACAACCAGGGGTTAAGTTGGGATTTGATATGTGGGGGGGCTCTGTGTGGAGGTGCGAGAGGGGGGCGGAGGTCGAGGATCTCATTATTTGACCTTAAGGGATATACACTGTGGCCCTAAAGCAACTGCTCCATTATCTGTATCAAATGCACACATTGATGCCACCAAATGTCACAATAAAAATAGAAAGTACTACAAATAAACTGGAATTCATTTACATCTTAAATTATTAATATATATACACAAAAAAAGGTTTACAAATATCCAACCTTCAAATTACTTTTTTAAGTCAACACTGCTCTGCACACTTGCTAAAGAACATTTGTGTGCAAATCTCAATTCATTTGTAGGGCTGCGTGAGTATGGCCAAAAGTATGGGAGTAAATCTCACTGTAAACTATTTAATCATCACCAAATGATGTGTGTTATTATGACCGATCATAACTCAGCTTTATGCAGACATACATTTAGCATGGTGTACAGGCATAGGCGACATAGGCGATCGTCTAGGGCGCCAGATCTGAGGGGGCGCTGCGTTTGCGCTCATCCTAATTTTCAGCCTTGATGTAACAACATTCATAATTAAGTAAATGTAACACCCTTTTCACCCCGGTTACACTTTTCATTTGCCCTGTACGACGGGCGCTGTAAGTGATGAAAGTGGGGGGTGTTGGCTTATCAGGCGCCCGCAGCTCACAGCCAAAGTGGGCGTGGGAGCGAGCAAGAGAGATAAATGCAATTTATGTAAACAAATATTTCCAAGGCACTCCTTTATAATTATTTGGATAAACAGGTTTGAAATCATTTCAATGTATACTATAGGACAGTAAACCAAACATATCGTTTAAAACTTGAGAGATAAAAAAATATGCATAAATAAATGTTAACTAGGTAAAATAAGATATGAATGAACAACAAAAATAAAATAAGTTACATTTATTTGTTATTGGCTGTGGTTATTGGTTATGTTCACATTTATTTGATTATTAAAATGTAAACCGATCTTTTTCATATGGGTGTTTAGAGTTGTACCCCCTAGATCTAGTCTCTAGTAATGTGTGCTCAAAGTGCACCAGATTGAAGCATTTTACTTTACATTTTCAAACATTTCTTCCCGGGGGGGGGGGGCATACCCCCGGACCCCCCTAGAGGATGTGACGTCCACACCCCAATTAAAACATGTTCATACAATACTGAATACATTTGAAGCCTTTTTGATGTATATTACCGATGTCAATAAGTTTCTGTTTTTGTAGTGTATTGGTCTTTTGTAGAGATTTTTCAGTTATTCTTTATATATTGTAGTGGAGAGTTAGAGATAACTCAGTGTTGGCACTAGTTTTGTGTCTATCACTAGGTTCACCCAGGTGTGTCGGCCAGAACACCACTTAAGGCCAAAGGTCCAGAATAGAGGAAATGAGGAGCTAAGATGAGGCTTGACTTCTTTACTTATTTAAGCAGACATACAGATATTTGTCTGTGTGTGGTTTTTCCTATAAAGGAAATAAACAAAATACAATCAATATAAGATAACTTATGCATACATACATAATATACATAATATTGCCAAACCCTATAGAAATAATAATCTAGACATAATACAACATGTCTCCCTTCTCTTATAATCATAAACACATTAACATATAATGTCAAACACTCTTGGTCAGGGACACGCAGAGATTCAAAGTTAAGCTACCGCTAATGAATAACGTTCTACTTCCGGTTGGCGGAAAGCGGCAGCCGATGCTCTTATTGTGAAACGCTACAGACATGCTACTTCCGGTAGCCGAGTAGCGGAGCAATAAATGAACTCTAAACACATAATATCTCACCTTTAACGCCACATAAACATTTATCCACATAAACTACATCCCATTACATTAATAATAGGTCTGTGCCACTCAACACGGTGTATATACCCCTAACTTTTAGACAGGAGTGCCGACTCATTTGACGAGTGACTTAATGAGCAGCCATCATAAATATGCACGCAGCATGCACAGATCACATGAGCACGGAGACTCTGCATTAAGCCACATCGGCACAGAAGTTATCACAATAATAATAAAGTGTAGAACAACATAACAGGCAGCACTGTGGACAAACACTCACGTTCATTTACGCACACAAGACGAAGGTTAATACGGCATAACTTTCCTGCAACTACTGATGCACATTACCCTCTGATGTATGACGTCACCCAAAACACATGGGTTAGCCCCTCCCCACTATGAAGGCACAACTTAACAGGTATAAACTCTGTATAATAAAATAATATATATATATATCAATATCTATAACTTTGGGGCCTTTTCTACAGCCGCCCACAAATGTATATAATACATTTGCTCATCAATAAAAGGCAACAAGGTCCTAAGGCTTGGATGTGATCGCAGGAGTAGAACTGTCCTCATCTGCTCCAGATGGAAGTGCAGGGAGGACCACCAGTCTGGCAACTGGCCGGGTGTAGACTCTCTCCTTGATCTTCACGTCGGCAGACCTTATATGTCCGTCGCTGCTTGGATGCGTCTTGACAACTGTCCCTATGGGCCATAGGGCTCTTGGAAGATGCGGATCAGCGATCATCACCACAGCGTCCTCTTTGATGTCGGCAGGTGTAGCTTGCCACTTCTGACGAGCTTGAAGACTCGGCAAGTAGAGCCTCA